ATTCTGAAAAGTATATTTCTGATCTGCTGCCAGTATTTTGAAACGGTTAATTACATTTTCATTCATTTCAAATAACAACTCAACTGATCTGCAAAATTATACATTTAACTAGTAAATACAATACAAAGCCATGTTAAATGTACCTGAGCCTTTACGGCTTCTGTTACTGCAGATGCTGCATCTACAAGATCCCTAATTTTTGAGGAACATACATCAAGGCCTAATTGTTCAGCACTGAGAAATGCATAGAAAGCACCCCCATAGCTAACATCAAGGATGACTTTTCCATAGCCAGGAACATCAATGGTTATATCTGATAAGTAAAAAAAAAGAGGAGAATGGAGAGACAAGAGATGAAAGTTACATAAATATCATCAGTGTTATTATTTTTCCATTTATTTTGTTCAATAATTTATTCTTAAGGCAACTGCCCCTCCAAAAAAGAATGTTAAAAACTGTAATCCAGATCCCCAGCTACCCTTACAACTAATATCTGAAGATTCCCCAAATATACTTCCTTCTTGTGTCTTTGTCATCTTTTTTCCGGTTTCAATCTTATTAGTGCCATTATTCAACCTTATTTTTAGAGGAAATTACATTGCTGGCAGGATACTATATATTGCTTCTAATTTATTACTGACTTACAAAACATTTCATCTTCAGAAGAACTTCAAGAGCAGAAAGTAAATAAAAATTACCATGGTGATTATAGGAGCTATAATCAAACGACATAACTATAATCACAATGACACAACATATATGGGGGTAACTGTGAGTGATTTGATTAATACAGGGATGTACATGCATTTAAAAAACAACGTACAGGCTCACTAAGGTAATCATGAGAAGCAGTGTAGCACAGAGAAGCATTCCTTCCATGAATCAAAGTTAAAGCCTAAGGAATAGCAGAAAAGAGGTTAATTACAGTAGATTTACATTATCAATCACCAAAAACATGCAGGTCGGAAAGCAAATTTTCAATTTTCTAATTGAGCTATACCATTTTATATCAGTTAAATTTTATATCTGTGACCGAATAATGACTGGATTAGTATATTATTAAGAATGCCAACATTTGAAATAAGATGCCTTACTCTACTCTCAGTATTTAGCTCCTATGATTCTTCAGGGGGGAAAACACAGAGCTATGTATAAGAATAACTTATAGAGTCATTTATACTTGTTTCTTGAACCATTTTCTCTAAGGACTTTTATAAATAATGGAGGACCCCAAAAAGCTTTTGTTAGTATGGGTTACATTTATTGATATTTATCGTTAAAATTTTTTAAAGCCGACACATCTGATGCTATCATTTCTCTTGACCATTTGATGAGATGTTTGATATTGTATTATTTTTCAACAAATTCTGGCAAACAATTTTAATCACGCCCTCTGGGGTCCTAGAACCATACTTTAAGAAACACTGAATACAAACCAAGAAACTGAATTTAACAAATTAGCTCTAGTGATGGCAATATATTCAGCTAGTAAACTGGGAAAGATTACTAACATTTGGAACAACCAAGTTGGCCATTTTAAATGCTACAAATTTTAAATATCACCTTCTTCCCATTTGAATTTAATGTCTTCTTTCTTCATAAAAATGAAAAACAGTGGATTTCTGTTGGCTGACTTGACCAATATAGCAAACCTAAACTCAAACCCTGACCATTTCCAAGATAAAATATTGTAACACATTCTAGATGGGGCTGCCCTTGAAAAGCATCCAAAATCTGCAGCTAGTACAAAATGTGATAGTGCAGGAAATTATATGCACTTCAAGATCAGCGTACATTACACCTCGGTTTTGCAAACTGCATTAGTTGCCAATTTGCTTCTGTTTGTGAGGTGCTGGTTTTTACCTATAAAGCCCGTTACATCTACCTGTCCCATCAACACTGGCAGAAGGGACATGTTGCAGGCCACATCTTCCATTCAACAAAATCCAGGAGAGCCTTTTCTGTTGTCCTGTCTTCTGGAACTGTATCCCCCATGAGGTTATATTGACCCTAGCATTGTTGACTATTGGAAGCCCCTGAAGACATGGCTGTGTTATTGGGCCTGGGGATCCCAGGGACATGGGGATCTTGCAAGATAGTTGCATTGCATTGCCTATAAACTGTAAGCTGACACTTTCCTAGGCTTTTATATTTTCATTTATATCATCCTAAACCCCAGCTATAGATATTCACCACTATTGCAAGTGTATCTTTGTCACTTTAACTTGTGATCTGCCTACAGTCACACAAGATGGGCAGCTATGTAATCTTAAATACATCATACCCTTAAAATGTCAATTAAGGGTAAAAACGTTCTGTTTTTTCTTTGAAGAGGTTTTGCTTCTTATCCAAGAAGTCGCTTCAGAGCTGAAGAAGCTTCTTGGATGAGAAGCGAAACCTCTTCAAAGAAAAACCAGAAAGTCCAGTTGCCTCTTGAAAAAGCACCTTTAGGACAACCATGCCCCATCTCCCTAGACATTTAAGGGTAAAAAGTGAAGTCAACGCCGCTCAGGCATCTTCCACATCGGTGGACTCCAACTTCCAAGAATTTCCGAGCCAACTTGGCTATTGCCAAGAATGCTGGGAGCTGAAGTCCACCTACTTCTGGAAGTTGCCTTAAGTGGGGCGACGGTCCAAGAGCGGGTCAGAGTAGCGCCACCGTATCCCTACCGGTAGCCGCGGCGAAGGCAGGTACGCTGTGGAAACGAACGCGGCTTCCACTGCGCTGCCCGTCCCAGGACGCAAAAGCCGTGACGGGCCCGCAGGGGCAGTGAATGGTGACGGCGGTCTCGCCGGGGGAAGGCTGGCAGAGGCCGTAGTCGAGGGCAAAGCGGCCCAGGCAAAGGACGGCGTGGCCGCACATGGAGCTCGCGCCCTCGTTGTGCACGAAGAGGGCTCCCAGGGCGGCTTCGGACAGCTCGCTGGGCACCACCAGGGCGCCGTACATGTCGCGGTGTCCGCGGGGTTCGTGCATCAACAGCCGCCTCACAGCGTCCAGCTCCGGGGAGTCCAGCAGGTGACGCCGCCGACTCAGGAGAGGCAGCTCAGGCCCGGGCTCCAGCAATCCCAACCCGCCCGGCACCACCACCCGGAGCGGCTCCCCTCCCGCGTGCATCTCCACCGTACGGATGGCCGGGCTGCCTGGCGCGCGCGGGGGCAGCCAATCGCCGCGATCGCCCGCGGACATTTCGAACGGTTTTTCTTCGGTTCAGACCAGCGCTGCCCCCCTCCCCATCCCCACGCCCGCCCCGAGGCCCGCGCTTTAAACACGTCACGAACGGGGCGGGCGTCATCGGAATGAGAATTTTAATTTTCAATCAATCACCATGGAGCTGGAAGGGACCTTGGAGGTCTTCTAGTCCAGCCCCCTGCTCAAGTTAGACACGCTATCCTATTTCAGACAGGTGACTGTCCAAAGAAAAGAAAAGGCTCTGTGCTGTTGCTTATTTGGGGAATTCTGGGAGTCGATTTCCACGCTTCTGAAAGTTGCTGAGGTTGAGAAACTGTCAAAAACGGAACACGAACGCGTTAGTGATCCAAGATTATAAATCTTCCTTCCCAACAACAGAAACTACTGTAATCATTTTTTGCTCAACCCTCACCTCTGTCAAGCCATAGTTCTTTATATAGTTAGAATCCTAATGTTAGCTATATAATTCAAAAATACATTCACATTTTCTTTACAATTGCATTGGTCTTAATCATCCAGGTTTATGGATATTGTACCAGACAATGGAGACACAAAGCCCATATCTTAAGACAGGAGTGCAGTTGCGGCATGACCTGTTGCCAGTATTGTCACTCACTGCTTCCTGGTGCTAGAGCAGATAACATCCTTCTCTTTGGACTTCAACCCATTGCAAATTTGCCTTGGCTGTATATTTTCCACACCCACCAGAGTGGATGGTCTCTATCACTTTCTTTCATCCTAGCAGCATTTGCTGCAGAGCTTAAGCTATGCCCAAAAGGTTGCTGTCCCAGCCACATCTTTCCTGCTGGGCTGCTATGTTCTCTGCTGGTTGGGAATTAATACTTTATTTTTATAATCTTGTGGTTGATCTAACAAGTTAATGAACTATTATCAATTGTAGAGGCTCATGATGAGTTCATACCCTACAGTCTTATTCCTTACTCCTGTGGATTATATCGCATTGTTGAAATGTTGAAATTTCATTGTTGAAATGGATTCAGATAGTTGCCAGTTAATTTTGTTTATACAATACAACTATTGTGTGTCAAGCCAATAATGGGAATTAGGTTCCTGCATATGTAGGTTAAAAAAATATATAATTGGCTTAAAAACTACTTTCATGAAGAATAAATCATAAAAAGCCAGTGTATCTATCACTTTCAGAATGTTCATTTCTATTTAAAAACCCTTCTGATTCTTGTTGCACATTTAACAAAAACAAGTCCTTTATTAAATCACAAAAATGTGAACTCATTTATAATATAACACAAGACCTCACTGATATGACAAGATATGGCAATAAAGCTGCACCTTTTTGATATCCACCCATAATTCCTAGCTGCTGGCATAGATTGTTGGAGAACATAAATTTAGTTAGATACATTACACTTAAATAGATAGACAAGACTAAATAGATAGACTAGATAAACTACACTACACTGGACAAAACTAGACTAGTTTAAAAACCCTTCTAACTTCACCAGACTAAATTTTACAGATCTAGAAAAAATTGACTAAGGTTGACTTTCCAGCTATTGCATATATTTAAGGGAGTGCGTCTTCATTATTTCTAGCTCTATGGGGAAAAAGAGTTCTGCATGTTGGCTCGGGCATTTCCGTCCTCCAGGGTTACGTTCCCTCCAGCGCCGGAAGCGAACGTCGTCATACGACCTGGGAGGCGGAACACAAATAACAGCTTGTGGGTTTGGCTTCCCCGCCTACTTAAGGGCAAGCAGATAATCCAATCAGCAAGGGGTTGCGGCATCTGAGTCGGCAGCTGCTTGGCTGGATATTTGAGTGCTGTCAAAATCACGATTCCTTGTCTTACTTCCGTCGCGGCCGGACTGGAGCAAGATGGGTGAGTTTGAGCTGCGGAACTCTGGTTGTGGCCAGTATTAATGTCGCCTGTAGCCCCACAGGCCAGACCGATCATTTTGTTAGGAACAATAGCAGCGGGTTGGTTTGCAACTTAAACGCCACTCACTTCCTTAGTTGAAAGAGGACAATCCTCCCACCACCGAGCACAAAGTGGTGCTTTGCGTACTTTTCTGATGCTGCTACTTCCCTCTCTCCTTAAAATTTGTCATATCGGGGCTTTTTGTAGATTTTTTTCTCTCTTTCTGATGTTTATAAGAATGGGATTCTGTTATCAGGTACTGTGTATACCTGGGCATTGTGTGATTTAAGGGCAAGGTAACATAAAACCAGTAAAATAAGAAAATGCATAGATACCAATCTAACAAAGGGTAAGAAATAATAAGCCAAAAAGGGTTAGAAAGTAGGAATTAAGGAAAGGTAATATATTTTCTATTATTTAAAGGTAATACAAATATAGGTCCCAATGCCAGTCTATCTTCCCAAACCATCCTTGCTTCCACCACATCCAGCATTGCTTCATGCATTTTTTTGTTCTTTAAACAACTTCATATACTACCCAGTACTTTTCTGCAAGAATTTGCATGACTTAAAAATTCTCTATTCATTCTTCAATATTTGATAAAATTTCACCATAAGAAATACATCTGTGTTTCTAGTTTGTTTACATGTATACATTTGTTTACATGTATAATGTCACTATCTTGTCTTTGAAACAATGTTCAGATCCCTATATCTCATTGCATTGGCTCCCAGTAGATTTCTGGCTGCAATTCAAAGTGCTGATTTTCACCCTTCATGAGGCCAAGTTACATGTGACATCTTTCCCAGATGGTTTCTACCTATTCCACCAGATAGGGCAGAATGGGCATACTCCTGGTCCTATCAGTGAAGCAGTGTCATTTGATAAGCAATAGGAATGTTGTCTTTTGTCTCAACCTTCCTGAGAAATAGACAGCTCCACCTCTACTTGCCTTCTGGAAGACTGTGAAGACCTGGCTTTCTCCGAGGAACAGAGATCAGGGTATTCATAGAGGCTTGGGGTGAGATAATTGTCTTCTGATTGTGCTTGGTGCATTCTGGCTAAAATATACAAATACCGTATTGTCCTTGTTAGCCGAGATTGCAGCATGTCAAGTAGACTGTTAACCTAGTCTATACTTTCTCTAGTTTACTAAAATCATTACTGTATATGAAAGTCTTGCAATGACCAGCACTATGGTGGCTGATAGAGTGCAATTTTTATGGAGCTATCAAGTAATGATTATGGAATATTGAAAATTGCATAAAATCAGGTGAGATTTTATATATAAGAGTCGTAGAAAGATTCAAGAATTATTCACTCTTTTTTTGGTGTAAGTTGTAGAAATTCAGCCAGACTGCCTTGGACTTTATTGTGGAAGAACATTGGAAATTATAAATGGAACTGAAATTAATGGTGATTGTGGGGTAAGTTGTACTTTTGGCAATTTTTCTAAATATTTAAAACAAGGGTATGTTGTTATTGGACATGACTAGGTAAAAGGTTAGGCTGAATGTTTGCATGAATTGTTTTTATGTAAATAATCAGATAGGAAAACTAGATAAACATTTTAAATAGATTAAGGCTTTATAAAATAGATTGTGATAAAACTTTACAGGTATGTCCCAGAGGACAAAGAAGTGATGCCTATAAAATCTGTCGCGAATGTACGGGATCTCCAGAACGCTATGATTGGCTTTATCTTGGCTTTATGGCAATGCTGCCTCTCATTCTGCATTGGTTCTTCATTGAATGGTATTCAGGGAAAAAAAGGTAAATATTTAAGGTTTTAGCTTAATAATATTTTATTTTAAAATACACTAACTTCTCAACTCAATATGTAAAAATTAGTTATTTATAGAGCGATGCACACATATCTGTACCATTTGTCCTCTTGGATTTTAGCCTCTATTTAATTCTTGTTCATTTTAATTGTTTTTATATTTATACTTTTATTATAATGTAAACTGCTCAGTCTATTAGACAGTGAGATGGGTGGCATATAAATTAAATAATGAATAAATACAACCCCACCTTGTGAAATATAAATTCACTACTACAATAAAAATATAAAAATATTTTTAATTCAGCTTGCTTGCTACGAAAATAGAGTTGTTTTCTTGGCAACAGTGCAGAAGCAATTTGCACAAGTACTTCTGCAACAGTGCAGAAATAGTATGTACTGGCTTTTTCCAGGTTTTTTTTTTTTTTTCAACTTTTCGCTCTAGCCTGCAATCTTGAAATTCCATGTTTCCCATCCAAATTATAGCCTGGCCTAATTCAGCTGAGTTTCCAAGCCCAGACCAGGTGTCCCTTGTTTTGCCACCTGTTGGTACTATTATTTTAATGCATGAACTTAACCAAATCTATAGGCAGGCCTCAATTTATAACCAGTCGCTTAGTGTCCATTCAAAGTTACAGTGGACCTCCCTATGACTCAGTTGTGAAGATTTGATGGCTGCCCCCTGCCCACTTGTTGGTGCTCAGCAATAAGCCCACAATAAGCGTCCCATAGTCATGTGACCATGTTTTATGATGGTTTTGCTGAAAACAGGGATTTATTTTCAGTTTTCGGCAAACTTGGCTCCACAGGGAATCATGTTGTCTTAATGACCGCAGTGTTTGCTTAACCGCTGTAGCAAAAGGTTGTAAATCAGGTTGGACATATGGGTGATTATTTACAACTGTTATTTACAGGTGTGATGTTCTACCTGTAGTTGTTTTTATATGCATTTATATGATGCAAGGTCACGTTTACTTATTTAAAACATTTATATAGCCACCAATCTTCCATCAGACTGCATTAAAAGCATTTGATTTTTGAAAATATTGAGAGATTTGTCAAAAGTTAACTCAATCTCCAACATTCTCTAAAATAAAACAAATAAATCTGGAAAGCCAAGGCACATCCTTCACATGGAGAAAAAGCTTAGATCCTGCCTCTGCTACTTATGAGAGAGAGATCATCTTGAAGGTTTTGCAACACTCCCTAAGAACGATAAGAGAATTAATGTTTTATGGCACTCAGTTATTTTGTTTTCAGTACTTATTTTATCTTTTCTCAACAGTTCCAGTGCACTTTTTCAGCACATCACTGCTTTAATTGAATGCAGTGTGGCAGCAATTGTTACTTTGCTTGTAAGTGACCCCTTGGGATCCCTGCACATCCGTTCATGCAAAGTGATGATGCTTTCTGACTGGTATACCATGCTTTACAATCCAAGCCCTGATTACGTTACCACCATTCACTGTACCCACGAAGCGGTCTATCCTCTGTGAGTATGTATTTGTAACTTCCGTACCGATGTCCTGATACTTTGAACAAAAATCAAGACCTTTTCATTGTAACAGTCACGTAATTTTTAATTGTATCAGAAGCAATTTTTTTAGGTTAAGTGTGGTTTATTTCTAAATAAAATGGCATTGGTTTGCAAGTTTAATTATTGTCGCTACTGTAGTTGATTTGCAATGTAATAGCTGATGGCCAGAGGAACAAACATAAGACTGTTTTTGTTTGTTTTTTTAAAAAAACTTTAGTTATAAGCAATATACTATGTAACTTTATTGCAGTACTTTTGTTTAACAAATTTGCTGCCATTCCTCATCTGTTTAGGCTTGGCAGTTAAGGAAAATGAGAATAGGGTTAAAAAAACAAATATATTGGAATACAATAGATATCCCTTTCCCATGCAAGGGGACAAGAAGTGACCATATCAAGAACTCTGATCTCTCTATAGACATAAGCCTCTAGTATAAAAGCAGAATATTGATATAATGCTATAGGAAAGACCTAGAAAGCTGCTAAAGGGAAGACGTAGTCAGCTTTTAGGACAGACTGGTTGTCTTATTGCCACAATTTGAAAAGAAATTGTCAGTTATTTTGTTAGGCAACTGTTAGTTCTAGGAATTTGAGGTCACAGTGTGCTAATTTTGACAGCCTTCTCTTTCAGCTACACCATTGTATTCATATACTACGCATTCTGTTTAGTGTTGATGATGATGCTTCGTCCTCTGCTGGTAAAGAAGATTGCTTGTGGGCTGGGAAAGTCAGATAGATTTAAGAGCATTTATGCAGCTCTTTACTTCTTCCCAATTCTGACCGTGCTTCAGGCTGTTGGAGGCGGCTTGCTCTGTAAGTTGTTTTCTATTCTCTCTTGTACAAAACACACAGCCCAGCATGGAAGTGGTAGGACATAAACATCTTGTAAATTTTAAAAAAATAGATTTCAGTTCCCACATAAACTACAGTGCTCTGGGTTTCCTCTCACAAATGAAATCAAAACCATCATGCAATGTTTACACATTTACCATAATGTGTAAACCAGGTGATACTTACATAGTGTATAGTAAATGTGAATGTAAACGTGTTACTGGTAGGTGAATTCTGAGTGTCATCGCATCTTAAAACATGGAATAAGGCTTTAAGTACCGAGATTATAATTTTTATTCTTAAATCAGAGGATAGGAATGGAATGCATCATGTGAGGACTATTTGTAAGAGTGCTTTGCTTAGACCAGGAGTGTCAGACTCCGTTTCATTAAGGGCCACATCAGGGTTGTGTTTGACCTTGGAGTGCCAGGGAGGGTGTGGCCAGCTTGACATCTTGTTGGGGGTGCCTGTAGAGACCCAAGCTCTCTGCCAGCGAAAATGGGCTCCTCCGTTTTCAGCTGCCACAACCTCCTACAATCCCGCCAGTGAAAATAGAGCTCAGAAGGGCCATTTGCAGCTCTCCTGAGCTCCCTTTTAGCTGGCAGAGGCACCGTGGGCTAGTCCTTCACTGTTTCCAGGTCTAAGCATCCCACCACCCCAGGCCTTGAGTTTGACATCCCTCACTTAGACTATAACAGAATACAATATTTGATATATTTTACTGGGGGCAGTTTCATTAAATCCAATGGGATTTCCTCTTGAATATAGTATTTTGAAAACTAATTGCTTACCTATCTGTTCTGTTTAACCAAGATGATAAAAGTGTATATAACATCTTCCTTTTTTCTTCCAGACTATGCTTTTCCATATATCATCATAGTGTTATCTCTTGTTACCCTAGTTGTCTATCTATCAGCTTCTGAAGTAGAAGTAAGTAAATCACTGCAACTAGCAAAATTATTAACTGTCAATAGGCTGTGAGGTTCTGGGGGCTGATTGGTTTAGTATCCTACAGGCACTAACTGTGAAAAAATGAATTATTGAATCTTCTGGAGCTATTGAACAGAAGTTTTTCTCTCTCCAGTAGTCAGGATTTTCATGAAGCTGCTGGATACTTTGCCCTGTCAGCATTGACTAGGAAAAAAAAATCTGCAAACAGTTCAATGAAGCCTTTAAAATTTAGTTCTTCATTCTTGAGTTTTCAAGAATGTGATCTCTCAGCCTGTTGTGCTGAGGAAGATTGTGCACTCAAACACAAACTTCCATCAAAATTCCTAAATGAATAAAAGTTAAAACATTTTGTGAAGTTTTCTCCTTTAATGATTCTAATTGATCACTGAAGCTAATCAGTTATTGCTTTGGGAGCATTACTGAGACAGTTTATTATCAGGATGGAAAAGTTACTTCAACAGAATCCCTGAATTTCACATTCCAGTTGTACCTGTAAGTAGATTACTATAAAAATAGAAACTAATGGAAATATCTTATTTTCTGTTTTTAAGACTTTCAAAGATCTGCTTGTCAGGAAGAAAAGGCTTATCGTTCTGTTTAGCCATTGGCTGCTTCATGCCTACGGAATTATCTCCATTTCCAAGCTGAGCAACATTTACCAGGACTTGCCTTTGCTGGCCTTAGTGCCTGCACCAGCCCTTTTTTATTTGCTAACTGCAAAATACACAGAGCCATCTCGGATATTATCTGAGGGAGCAAATGGACGTTAATTGTAACTGATAACAGTCTGGGTAAGTAGCATATACAAGAGGGTTAGTCTTCTTAGATCCAGCTCTCCTTACCTTAGTTGTTAATTTGCTGTGGATCAACTTTCAAGTAAAGTTTTTTTTTTTGAGAATCAAAACTGGACAACTCTGTACCAACTGGAAGGTAAATTTTCTAAACAGTGTAGATACCCAGTGTGGGTAATGCTTTGAGACTCTTTATCAGCTGCAAAAGCCAAGGACCCCTGAATAACTTTCTAGGCTGGTCTTGTATATATGTTTTATATTTGTCTGTTATGTGTGAATAATTTGTACAGCATACTTGAAAATAGTGTTATTTATTGATTTCACAGCACAGTATTTTCTCACATTGAATCTGTATTCGTAGAAGAATAAAACATTCAGTATTCTAACTTCAGTTTATAAGGCCTTGTAGTCTGTTTTATCCTAGAGGGGAAAAAAATTGACAGAACAGTTTTATAAACGCTTTTATCTTAACAAGCATTTATGTGAGATAGAAATTGTATAGCAGCAATATTTGCTCTGCACTAAGAATTTTTGTGTGTGAAATATTTCAAGTTTGTAAGAGCCAATGAAACATCTGTCCCTCTTTTACAACAAACACTTTGACAGAATTTCCATTTAAAAAGGAACACCAGAATTCAGTTATGTACTGCAAATAAATGCCTCCCTTTGATGTGATCTTTTTACAATAGTTTCTTTCTCCAGGCAGAGGGCTAGATAGTTTCTTCAAGTAGCGAATAACCAGATATGCCAGTTATGTTTTATATTATGTTGTGTATCGTTTTATGTGTAACAATATATTTTTAATTTTGTGAAGCTGCTAAAGAGTTCTGAATTTGGGCAGCCTATAAATTTGACAAATGAAAAAAATAAATTAATAATCTGTTTGAATCTGTCTGTGGCTTTAAAAATTTGTCATGGGTCGTAGGCTCCTTCATCTGAGATTAAACACATTCTTCTCACATTTAAATCCACAAGCAGATTTTTTTTTTAAAAAAAACCTATTAATTATAATAAACAGGAAAGAAACTATTGTCTGCCACTACTGAAACAGGATTGTTTTCAGCTATAGAAAAATAGATCTTGGAAGTCTACACAGATTTTAGGTATAGAGGTGAAAATGACAAGTTACTGATTTTAGATTGTCTAATGGTTAAAGCTGTTTGTCTCTTATCTGTTTTTCCTTCTTTTTAAATAAACTATAGCTTAGAATATGATTGGCTTCCTATAATGTGTTACTTTAAGATACATATTTCAGAAATTCACTTGAATATTTAGTACAGACTTTAAGTTACATTGCTCTAAGGCAGAAGCAAGCAAGGTTTTTATGAGTTACCTTTTATTTTTATTTGGGGGGGGGGGCTAAGCAGAGTTCTACCTAAATAGTATATGGATTGAAGACATCAGAAAATCCCAGAGCTATTGAGTAAACTAGGATGTTAAAAAAATCCAAGGAAAATAATTTTCACAGTGCTGTTCAGAAAACTGCGTAGACAAAATTGCCAGAAATTGAAGGCAAAGTTATCTTTAAGAATTGCAATAGCTGGAGCAATTAGTTACACAGCTTTTTCATTAAGAGGGTGGGGTTTTTTTTTAAATCTATTATACTTTTTTATTGCATTTCTTGCTTCAAAATTTCTTCAGAATCAGAAGAAACTCTGCAAAGCCACAAAGCAACCATTTATGCAGTTCTTGGGATTTCCAGAGTTTGTATTAGAGAAACCATGTTAAAAACAACTTAATTTTTGCCTATGATTGGATTTTACCATATTTTCTCTCTCTTAGAGATGAAAAACTCGAGTTTTATTGGTCACATAGATGATTTTTTAAAACATTTAGTAGCAACCAACCTGCATACTTTGTGTTCCTTTCTAAATGTGCTAATAAAGGATATGATATTTTGTTCCGATACCCAAATAAAAAAATAGTGCTAGAAAACTAGCATTTGCCGTTCCAAACTTGACAGAGTAAGACATTTTTTTCCTGGTATTCTGTGACAAACAAGCTGTGAAGAATCTGTTTTGAAGAAGGTAATTTTTGCTTTTCAAATACATACATTTAACAAACATGTGACACTTCCCCAAAATGCTTACTTTGTCAGCCTCTGGCAAAGATTTGCTTCTTAACAGAGAATCCATCTCTTCATAGTTTAGCTGTAGCCCTTCATGAACATAGTCAACCTTAACATTTCTCTTTGTATTTCTTCTGACATATTCTTCCAGAATAATCAAGAGCTCATGCTGGTACTTTAAAAATATCTGCAGTGGGATGAAAACAGTGAGAAAATAGATTTTCTGTTGCAGAAAGAGAACATGGATTTTCTTCACTTTTTAAAAACATATTTGGACTCTTCTAAAACATAGGTTTTGGGGGGCGGGGGAAGAGTACTGAAAGTAAGTACGTTTGATATAAAAATAGTGGGAGAAATATACCACAATGATTCTTTAAATTTAAAATGATATGAGATTTCAAGACTTAGGATAGTTAAAAGAACCTTCTATTTAATTGGATTAATCAGTTAAATCTATTAAAAAGGGAAAGCAGCTCTCATAAATGGCTTGTTCTTAAACAATAGCTGTACTTTAAATGTCAGCAAAGCCTCACTGGGGAGAAAAAAGCCATTTTTTTCTTGCTATCATGAAGAGCAGCAGAATATGTAACAAGCTAGGTAAAGATAAAGTTTTTTCCTGTTCAGTCATGTCTGTCTCTAGGGGGCAGTACTCATGTTCGTTTCTTACTCGAGGGAGCCAGCATTATCTGAAGACACGTCTGTGGTCATGTAGGCAGCATGACTATATGTCAAGGGACACAGAACGCTGTTACCATCCCACCAAAGTGGTACCTATTTTTCCCATCAAAGTGGTACTTATTTATCTACTTTCATTTGCATGCTTTCAAACTGCTAGGTGAGTAGGAGCTGGGGCTCGTAACGGGAGCTCATCCCATCCCGCAGCATTCAAGCTTTTCAGCTGGCAAGCTGAGTGTCTTTAACCACAGAATTAAATTTTACTGTTTTTTTTCTCCATTCAAATGGTATTCTAGCCCTAGTTTATGCTAGTTATCATAAACTAGATGTTTATTTTTAATCGTGTGACAGGTTGCCATTTGAAGGGAACTATGGCTGTTATTTTTCTTTTTTAATGTACATTATTTTGCATCCTTGATACCAAATACATGAAGTACCACAGAAATGGGATTGTGCATTTTAATCTAACTGGAATTATATATCACATCCTCCTGGTTGCATCCATAAAATCAGACATTAACCAATGTCTGACTTTATGGATGTTAACCATAAATAGTCCCCCATCCAAACTCCCACTGCCTCCAGGTAATATCATAATATACCTTTTGTAGATATTCATCCTTTGTCCATTTCTCGGCAAACAGTTCTAAAACAAGAATTTATAGTATAAATAAAAATAGATGATAATATATATTTTAAAAGAAGTAAATAACATGTTTAAATATGCAACAACATATTAAATGACATTTTAAACCACATTTATTAAACGTGTTGGACATCCAGAATTTCTAAAAAGCAAATTAATTTAAGATTTGTTTGTTAAACGGTATCAGGGTCTATAGGAAGACATCTAATTGCTTAAAACACAGTTAAAGAAGGGGTTGTTTTGAGAGATTAATGGCACCATGAGAACCCTTAACCTCAGTTCCTTTTTAACATCTTTCACTCCTTCCTGCAGGGAAGAAACTTTTCAGTGATGTCTGTTTTTCTTAAGATTCCATAATGGTATTCAAATTAAATCATTATTTGAAAACAAGTATCTAACAGGAATGATAATAAAAGTAATTTTCTTTTTTTCTTTTATTCAAAAGATTAAAATACAAAAGAAAAAACAATTTAACAGAGAGAAAAGAAAATTTAAACCAAACATTAAAAGTGTGAATTAAAAAGGACAAAAAACAAAACACATTATTCCCCCCTAGTTGAATACTGACAAATTTAGGGCAGCAATAATAGCTTTCCCCCTTGTAAAGCAGGTCCAAAATTTGTAAGATTCTACATATATTTGCAATCTAATTGACCTGTCATACATTACATATATGAAAGAAAAAATAGTTAACAGGTTAAACAACAGCAAAGGTAAAGTTCATGGCCCTCTGTTAATAGTTTGTTATTGTAATTTACTCGTAGAAAGTCTACAACAGTTTCTTATTTACCACAAATTGATCTCTCCAGGATCATAATGAAACCTTTCCTTAGGTTTTTAATTGGGATCTTTCCCAACAATCGCATATGTGTATACAGTGTAGACCCTGCATTAAATTTCTTCTGTGGGACAATGCTTTCCACATTTTTATGTTAATGCAAGATATCCATTAAGAAACCATCATATCTCAGAAAGAAAAGAGGATGCCACAGCGCTGGCAATCATCTGCTACCAGTCATGTATCCACTGTGTCCATTTCTCTTTGGGCTAAAGTTCTATGTGTACAGGAACTGAGTCTCTATTTAGGAAAAATAGTCATGAAGTCATATCCTAGCATTTTTTGAGAAAAGCCACATGAATGTCCTTATTGTAGATCATTCTTAGTTCATTTAAAAAAAAAAAAACATTTCAGCTGGAGTGGAAATTTCTGCCACAAAACACTCACCATAAAGAACTTTTTTACATTGCTGGATTTGTTGTCTCTTTAGCTGATAGGTCTTTGCCTCCTCATCTATTGTGGAGATATCTTCCTTGAGATATGCAATGCCCTATAAAGATACAGCCAAAGAAAAAAAACACCCATGTAGAAGCTATTGATGCAGTCAGCCTGGCAAGATTCTTGTAAATAGGCAAGCAATAATAAAAAAAAATCTGTTCTGGTCAGTTCACAGTACCGCTCTGGTTCCTTGCACCTGACATTAAACTTGCCAGACTGACTGCATTCTCTTGGGAACAGTCAGAAAAGGGTTCCAGGGATTCTGGTCAGGTCTGTGTTACTTCCTGCTATGCAAGGTCTCTAAGCTTGCCAGTTTCTTCAGTCCTCCCCCCACTCTGGCTGGACATATTGGCTTTTCTAAAATCCAAAATTGAACATCTATCCTGCAGCTTCAAATGTAAAAATATCTGTTGTGTCGTGAATAAGAATTAGAGACGGTTGAAGAAAGCAAGCAAGCAAATCAGATTTTAAAAATCTCAAGCCAAACTATTGGTAACTATCCACACTGGCTATGTTTTCTTGGCAATAATTTAAAGATGGCTTGCCACTGCCTTCTTCCAAATGTTTTTTCTGACTTTCCAATGTAATCTAATTCTCTAATGAAAACAAAGCTTTTTTTTTTTTTTTTTGCTTCTCTGAGATCAACTAAGACTAGCTGGGTGCTGCCAAAAACAAATCTAACATCTGTTCTTAAAGCTATAATTTTATTATTATTAAATAATAATAAAAGGATTACATTGATTACAATTATAGATGGATTACAATTTCTTAAAACAACATCATTTGATTATCAATGGAGGGGCCCTTCACACTCCATTACTCTCTCTTGAGTTACTTACGCTTCCCATTTTCCCAAGGATTGCCTACCAATCATGTTTTCCCTTTAATCTTAAATCTCTGTTATCCTATGCTTTCATTCCATTATTGCAAGACATAGTCCCATTTTACTTTTATCAGTCTAAACACATCTCAAGTGGATGTCTGTGTTTTCTGCTTTTCCCAGACACTTCCTGTAATCTTCAAACCAGATTATTAAATAATTATAACTGAAGAATATGCTTTATTTCTCCATAGGGGATGGACACAGCTTTTAATGGATTATTCAAACAAAGCCAGCGAACTGCAGAAGAAAGTAGGAGTGGAACTGCTATATCTTCCACATAAGGAGTGGAATAGCAATATCTTCCACATAATCGTGGTCTGTCTATATACCTCTTGGGCAAAATAGCAATCCAATCATATGCAATCCATGCCCCTCTCTTCTGATATAGAAATTGCTCCTCCCATCCCATCTAACAGAATTCCAAGCTTTACACATCAGTAATTTTTAGAAATCTGATTCAAAAGATTCTCAAAAGTAAACATTGTACTATGAGATACTAAACAAATAATTAAGATTCCCCTGACATTTTAAAAAAACTAATATACTGTAGAATTAATTTACTTGGAAACAAAGAGCATAGATCATAATCAGGTATCATAACACGCATAAACTATAATGTCATTTTAGCTAATATTTCTAGTTTGGCAACCCCATGCAAAATACATTTTTTTTCTTATATAATCCAAACCACTGAAAAGTAGCAATGGGCACAAAAAAGCATTTTTACAATGTCTTCCTGCTGTCTGCCATTCTAGAATTGTTAGTGTAAAATCTTACCAGATTGCCAAAAGTTGAATGCAAAACTATTCCTTTCTCAAAATACTCACAGCTCTTAACCGGGCATTCTCCCCATTCAAAATGAAGAGCATTCTGTCTATTTCATAGTTATCTCTCTCAATAAACTTAATAGAATATGTCGAACTTGTCAGTTGCTCAAATGCTTTATCTCTGCTCCTACTGAGTTCAGCCTTTGCAATTGTCTGTTGGCAAATAATGCATATTATGTAGTTATAATCTTAGGAACATGATACAAAGGAAAGAGTGCTAAGAACAAAAGTTGGACAAATTCCAGCCCTAAGATTTCATAACATTTACAAAAATATTTGTATCATAAATCTTTTAAAAACGCTTGCTGACGGATGAATGCTTGGAAGAAGGAAGAAACAATTGAAATATTAGTAGGTGATTTTTTTTTTGAAGCTTCATTTTCAAAAGCAAGAAAGCACACCAAATTAGTATATTGAAGAATAAAACAGTAACAATATCCACAGAAAAGAAAGGTAATACCAGCAGCAATTTTACTATTATTGTATTATATTTACTATTTTGTAAGTATTGCATGCAAGAAATCTTGACAATTCAGAGCCATGCATTCATGCTTGTAGTTCTTTTACTGAATAACTTGAATTATGAATTACTCTAAATAATTAAACGATTAATGTAAAAAAATGTTAGCATATGGCATACATAGCCAGGGAAGTCTACAATGTTTTTTTTAATCACAGAGTAGTTTGGGCAGTTTAAGATTACTAGTTCATTTGTTCACGCATGAATACTACCTACAGTGCACCACAGGGGATGAACTAGCTTTGCACCAGCTGGTTAGCAGCGTTTGGGAGATGTCAGTTCCTTCGGGCTTTCTTCTGCTGACCTCACCTTGCATCTGAGTAGGTTCCGCACCAGCTCCTGCTTCCACTTGGAGTGCTACTAGCTTTTCCCACCAGAGTGGCACCTATTTATCCACTTAAATATTTATATGCTTTTGAATTGCTAGGTGGGTAGGAGCTAGGGACAAATGATGAGATCTCACTTGACCATGCAATGCCTTGGGCTCGAACTGCTGGAGTGCTGACCATCTCCAGCTAACAAATCCAACATCTTTAAGCTGCTGCACCACCATATCTCTGATTAATGTAATAATTAACACAGTACTTAGTTTTAATCACCACTGATATAATTTCCCAGTACTGATCTGTGTCAGCTTTTCACTCAGTAGCAAGTGACAGAGAATAAGGATGAATATCTTCTCCAATAATTTGTCAAGCTACAGCTTGCAATCAGCAAAAAAAAGTTATTTAGAGAATGGATGCTACCTTGAATTCACTTTGATGTACTTTTATAGAATCCTTGATGCTCTCTTAACTTTTTGCAGATATTTAATTACCAAAACTTGGTAATATCACCAGTGCAAGTAAGAATGGAGTTTGTTTCCTATTTATATGCAGCAGCTTGCCCTACCAGTTTTCATGGGAATGTGGTTTTCTCTTTGGTAGTTCCTTGATAGGCTATTGTTTTCTGCCTGATAGTTTGCCTTAGGTTAATGCCTATTTTATCTGGGTGTAGGCTGCTAGAATGAATATGTTCTGTCTACATGTGTGCCTAAAGGCCTGTTTGGAGTCTCAGAACAGTTACTGACCCACTACTGTTGAAAATTTGAGGCAGAATTTCTTATCTTTTGGAGGCATAATATGCATAAAAATGTTCTATAGTAAATTTAACTTAAAGAACATGCAGTAAAAGGGAAAACAGCCTCACCTAATTTGCATCATTATTCCATCTTCTGTGGCCCCTTGTTTTTCAAAAAGTGTAAGTGGAGCCAACTTCCAAGTGAGAGAATGGAAAGGTAAAATGTTTCTAAAGGAACAGAAATAACACCGTGGCCAAGAACAATGACAAATCTGGTCCAGTGGCGTCTTTTTGAATAAGAAAAGGATGAGAAATTGCCCACTTGTGCATTATATGGCTGCTCTTATGAGGAGACCATAGGACAACAGTCAGTTTGTGGGTTTGAATGCCAGAAGTCAAGAAAAACAATCAAGCTTTTAAGCACTCTGCAGAATGTATGGGCCCTGTATTCATCAAGCTTCACTTTCTTATGTTTTGAATATAACCTTTTTAACATTCAAAAAGATCTTCCAAGCAGTAAGTGTGAAAAACTATAAGGTGAGTGACCCTTTATTTCAAAAAGGCAAAAATTAATTACAAAAAGACAAATTGGAAATATTTAATATTTGAAATATTGTGACTTTTGCTATAAGACTTTTTAAATAATTAAAACAAAAATAACTTTGCAAATGATAACCCAAGTGGTGATGGGTAATGACCGATTATTGGATTTGCAAAAGAGGGTTGTTAAAGCCACAAAAAAATTCTGAGATGAGAGAAAGAAAATTTGGGTGGAGCGTTTTAATGAAATAAAGGTTAAAATTATTAGAAGCAAAACAAAAGAATGTAGAATTAACCTATTTGATCAGGCTTAAAATAAATATTTTTATAACGTTCTGAGAACTGTTTATGGATTGTTTGCTGATTCTGAACAAAAACGTAATGATTTTTGAATTTGTGGTTAGATAAGGGTTATAATATGGAAAGAAGTGATTTATGTAATATCAAAGGAGGAAAATAAATACTAATTATGTTTATGCTTATTGAACAGAGATTGGAATGTACTTCTTTAAATATTACTTTTTTCATTTCATTTTGTTTTCTCATATTCTTTTTCTGTCTGTACTTTTCTTTTTTCATATTTCAATTTGTAATACCTTGACTAATTTTAAAATCTCTAATGAAAATTATTATTTTTTAAAAACAAAAGGTTTAAGTGGAACACACAAATAGAAAGTAACATAATATAAGAAGCAAATATTATGCCTTCTTACCTTTTGCCTTTCAAGTTTCTTAATTTCCCTTAATGATTGCTCTATGCCTACTTTAAGTGCACTTTCTTCATCTTGTAATTCTATAAGCAGAGGAGAAAAAGTTAAATGAATATAAGCTACAGTAACACAGCTTGTTAGAAGGGTTCAGGAAACAACCCACAAAATCAGAAAGAAATAATTTAGAATACTTATAAATTACTTATTAGTGAAAATTATTGGCCAATCTACTAAACAAAAAAACACCTGTACCATGCTGAAATGGATAGATTAACATTGAAAATTAAGGATAAGAATATTTTTTAACTTGGGAACTATTTTATCAATGGTTAGAAAATAGAAGCAGAAGTTAGAAACTTAGAATGTAGGACGACATGTAAAGAAAGATGAAATAAATGTGCAACTAAATAATGAAATATTGAATAATTAGGATAAATAAACATGATTAACAGAATTAGAGGATAACGGTTATAAATGTGATGTTCATATGATATTTATAATGTTTGATATTATTAACCAATCGTAGATAAAGCTGAAAAGCATGTTTATTTAAATAATGGGAAATGTTTTAAGGATAAGTGAAGATCATGGTGAATAGATTTTGACAATAATAATTATAGTTATTGTATGTATAAGATTTATTACTTGTATTTAAAATAGATTGTACCCAGGCAGCACACTGCCATTGTAGATACAGAAATTTTATATATAACAAAGAAAATTGCATAATAAAAAAATAAAAAAAAACCACTTGTGTCCACAATATCTAACCTAAATATGGAACTTACTGCAAAATCTAAAATAAATGTAGAGAAAACATGGTAATACAGCCTATGTAGTAGCTGTCTCATTTAGCACTATCACAAATTTTAAATGTGTGTTCTATTAAAAGAGAAGGAGGAACGATTTTCATTTGGCACCAAATAAAAGTAAACAGACATCAGACACAACCAAAGTCTTCTCACTGGAAACTACCCAACGTGTTTCAGAAAGGGAGCACTCAGAAAAAATGCATTTTGATAACCTTAGTATTTGGGTTCATATTTATTTACTTGTTGTTTATTGTTTATTTGTTGGTTTGTATGTCATCTCCATCATAAAATGTCTCAGTAACTTATGTAATAGGCTTAAAATCTCAAGTAAAATGCTACCAAAATCAAATAGCAATATATGCTTCCATAGGATATATGATGAGCATCAGGGGATAATGACACAGACATATTTTGTACTTGATAACTATCAGGGAACAAGCCCTTCCTTGTCTCTCAGGGCCTGAAGACAGGTTAGGTTTTACAAGCTCAACAAGGTTGGAGCCATATGGATTTTAGGAATGACAATTCTATAGGGTAGGCACACAAGGCATGTCTCCTAGGTCCTACAAAGTGACAGTGGTTTAAAGTTGGGGCCTAGACCTCAACAATTCCTCCATATCTGATCAGTTAGAGGAAATTGGAGGAAAAAGACAGTCCCATAATGTAATTGGCAGAAACAAGAAATTTGAGAAACAGGAGAAACAGCCACAACAATACAATAATCAGATAAAATAAATCTTGAGTTCAGAGAACAGAAATACAATTAGCAAAAATGTCTGAGACATGATTCTCTCTAGTTCTTATAAAGAAAAAGTGGAAGTGCATTCAGACTTGCAAGGTAGCCCTTTAAAGTAGACCAAATTTGGTACCAAAGACACACTGTGGCTGATCACTTCCTGGGAAGCCCTGTGCAGCCAGAACTGACATGGGTCTACAGTGTGACTTTCCCCCCCGATGTTATCTAGAAAAAAATAAAATACTCAATGAAATCTAATGTACTGTTAAAAAAATAAAATTACAACTCTTAAAACTAACATGTCTACTATGCAAAATCTTATGTTTATCATAGAGAGATGGCAATGTATTGACCCTGGGATAGGCAGAATATAAGACTCCAACACTCAGGTAAATAAGATTAACATTTGGAAGAAGAAAACTATTTAAAGTTGGATGCTTTTCTTTTTTTGCACTTTTTTTGCACTTTGATGAATTATATAGATAAAACTTCCTATATATACCATTATAGAGATCCTTTTGCTTTGTATAATTGGTGCTTATTTCTTCTAATTCTTTTTGTAATTCTTCTGCGAGGGGAACATTCTCTTGTAGTTTTTCTTCCATTTCTTCCATACGTTTTGTTTTAGAGTTGTATTCTTCCTTTTAGGAAAGAAAACATAATGAACAATTTATATATAGACTTTATACTTCTGTAATGAGCATCCTAGTATTCTAATATGATACAACAACTGATTAATATTTACTCTATCTATCATCTGATTGACTGATTTAGAAACCATCCAACAGCAGAATGACTCTGAATGGCTTATTCTTGGAGTAGGAAAACAATAAAAAGAATCTAGGCATCTGGACAATGACACAATAACCAACCCAGGGGTCCATATATACTTTATCCTAAAAGGAGCATAACCAGGGGTGGGATTCTACCAGTTCGCACCTATTCGCTAGAACCAGTTGTTAACATTCTAAGCAGTTCAGAGAACCGGTTGTTAGAAGAAATTACTGGCCTAATCCTGTAAGGAAGGCAGGAAGGAAACATTCTGGTGTTGCTTACAGAAACTGCCTTTCCTTTAACCCTTATTACATTCTTGGCAGGACTAGATTTCCTGTCTCAGGAACTTCTCTGGAGTTTTTTTCCCCTCCTTTGCTGGTACTTTGCTTGTGTGGAGTGACCATTCAAAGTTACAATGGTACTGAAAAAAGTGACTTATGACCATTTTTCACACTTACGACTGTTGCAGCATCCCCACAGTCATGAGAGGCCAGGTGAGGAGATGCGTGCCTCGATGTGAGTGATATTGAGTTGGTCACACCCAGCCAATAACATGACCACCAAGCCATGTCCACCCAGTCACATGACCACCAAGCCATGTCCACCCAGTCACATGACCACCAAGCCAAGCCCACCCCCTAAGCCACACCCACAGAACCGGTTGTTAAAATTTTGAATCCCACCCCTGAGCATAACCAAGTTTTTGAAGACTTGTGGAACATCATCGGGATGAGATATACAGATTGCTGGGAATATTATATCTTAGGGTAGGCATTACAACAGAAAAGGCATGCCTTTGAGGGAATCTAACACATACCAATTCTATTATTATTATTAATTAAATGCATGTGTTGAAACTCTGAGCAGTTTACAAATGATTTAAAATATGAAAACAAGACTAAAAACACCCACCATTTTTGATTTTACTAGACAGAGACCATAAAAAACAGGCAGTCCCTTAGATAACCTAGCCGTATGATATACTGTATATACTCAAGTATAAGCCTAGTTTTTCAGCCCATTTTTTGTGCTGAAAAAATCCCCCTCGGCTTATACTCAAGTCAGATTCCCCTCTGAAAAAAAATTGGTGTGGAGTCGCGGCCTCCGGCGGCAGCGACTCCCAACAGCCCCAGCTGGGAAGGGAAAGGCAAAAAGCGCTTTGCCTTTCCCTTCCCGAGGCGGCGGGACTGGGGCCGCGCCGGCGGTAGTGACTCCTGACTCAGGGGGCCTCCGAGGGAGGGGAAGAGAGTGACTCCTGCCTCCCGCTGTCATCATCATCTTCTTTTGGGTTAGTGAATCAATTAAACCTTTCATGATAGTGAGATCGTTTCCCAAATTAATTATTTTTATTTTTGAAATTTACCAGTAGCTGCTGCATTTCCCACCCTCGGCTTATACTCGAGTCAATAAGTTTTCCCAGTTTTTTGTGTAAAATTAGGTGCCTCGGCTTATATTCGGGTTGACTTATACTCGAGTATATACGGTAATTGATATCCAGCACTCTGAAGTGCATTTGGAAGCCTATTGGTGTGTACAATGCAATCACCTGTGAGGTGAATTCCAGCCTGCAGAACATTGCTAGATTCAGAATCCTTGGAACGCTCAACATGATCATCTAGATTTCATAGCTGTTTCTTCTTCCAGAAGATGTCTTGGCTACAACCCCAACAAGCCACCTCTTCAATTCTCTACCTAGAAGCCCTAGTAGATTCCCCACCTGTCACCAGGTTTAATATTCCCCTATCCACAAGCAAATCCTTGTCTTCTAAAAATCTCTTACTTGAACAATCAAATTTCTCCTGCCATTTAACACAATTTGATCTTTTTTGGAGGGGTCATTGACCCCACTGTCTCTCCATTCCATTTCCTGCTGGCTGCAAATCTGAGTCAGCTATTATGCTTGACTGGTATGCTGGGAATTAAAATGGAAAACAAGCAGCTGTTTCTGACATATGTTACAGGAGAAATCTGGATTTGAAATGAAATAGAAAAAACTAAAGTAATTCAAAATCCAGTTGTACCATTTGTGCTTATATCTGAATAAAATAAACTGATTAGATAAATTACTGCTATTTGTTATTCTGACTTCTACCTAACTTTAGTAGCTCTTTCTGGCTTCTTTTCTCTAGTTCTCTCTCCAGTCATTTTGAATTTAGTGTCAACTTGGTATCCAAGAAAGGCATGGCTTTTACTTTAAACTTTAAAGCTTTTATTTAAAGGAACGTCACATCAAAATGCTTCAGAAAACTGAATGCTTCTCCTAGAAGCCCACAGCAAGCAAATCAAGCCACTCCAGTGGCTTAAAACCAATGCAAACTCTTGATTCACAAGCACATTCTCCTACCACCTTCTTTAGCCATCTGATTTTTTAAAAAATGACTTCTATTCCCTTTTAATTCTAAACGGGATGGCTAATGATGTATTTATAGTCAAACGCATTTCATAACATAAGACAGCTACAAAAATGTATCAAAATATAGATCGCTTGCCTCAATTTTTTTAATTTCTGTTGTTAAATCAGCAGCTTGCTTCTTATAATTGATTTCTTTTTTTTGCAGCTTGGAAGTGAGATGTTTGAGATGCTCAGTATGCTTCTTTATTTCTTTACTGAGACGTTCATTCTATTTGTAGAAAATATGAGAAAGAAGCAACATAAATCTGTTCTAATAATTTGCAAGTGTATATGTGCAGATGTTGAGATTTCAGGTCGGTTTGGCATTTATGGAAACAATATTTAATAAGAAAGGTTTTTTCTGCTATGAATTCTGTTCTGTATTGCAGTTATTTCAATGATCAAATATTGAGAGAGAATTTACTCTAGTAGTTCTAATGTATCAACTGAAGTACTTTTCTAAATGCCTGTTTGTGCCATCATGGCATGAAGTTTTTTTTTTCAGGCATATTCAGGAGCCTGGCAAACAATCTGAAATGAAGACAGGCTTCAGAAGGGGAGCAAAGCCTACTTCTCATATTTCTCATTCCTGAGAAAGTGGACCTCTTCATTGATTCAAATGAAAGATAATTTGGTCTCTTCATTCCTTAAACTATTTTCATTCAACTTAAGGGTCGAGCAGACTTCTCCAGCACTGCACGCCAAGGAACATATGTATCTGTCGATCAGGGATGGTTTCATTTATATTACTGCAAATGTAACATTCTGGCTAGGAGGCACTCACATAGCAAAACACAGGACAGGAAGCTGGATCAACCAATCAGCATGCAGGACATTCATCTCTGCACTTTGGGATTTGGCAGGTGTGCACATCAGGCCATCTGCAGCCATCTGCAACCTATGCTTACTCATCAACTCCTTCACAGTGTAGGTGTGAGGTGACCCCTACATGCAGTTGCAGGCAACTCTAAATCAAATTTTTGTTATTTTATGTCAGAAATCAAACACCCAAATGCTGCAAACTAGCATTACAGAAAAAGTGCAGAGGGTTAATATACAGCTATAATCTTGTCTACCTCTCTCTTTATTCCAACAATATTTTTTTTTAAATGTCAGAATCTATTTTTCTTTGTTCATTGGCTTATATTAAGCCTTTTGATCACTCTGCACTGGATCCAAAATCAGTCCTGACCCTTCCCTGAAATCCTTTCTTCTGTGTTACACCAACGAGTGTGATTGTAACCTTTCATCCTATATATGAATGAAATGACTTCAAAATGCCACATCTGTAGAAAATCTATATTACAATGTGATTTGGTGTTAGTACCCTAATAGGTATTATACCTCCTTTTTTAACTTGTTATAGGATTTTTTCATAGCTTCAAGTTTTTGTTTTGATTCGTTCAGAAATTTTTCATTGGCTTCCAGTAAATCTTGATATAGGGCTGTAATTTTGTCAAGTTCAATCTGCAACTGTTCTCTAGTAGCAAAGGAGAAAACACAATTCACAATCATTGAATAAATGAAAAGTGACCATCAAAGTTACAACAGCACTGAAAAAAGTGACTTATGACCGTTTTTCACACTTAACAACTTTTGTAGCATCGCCATGATCATGTGGTCAAAATTCAGATGCTTGGCAACTGACTCACACTTATGACCGTTGCTGTGTCCCAAGGTCATGTGATCCCCTTCTGCAACCTTTTTACAAGTAAAATCAATGGGGGATGCAGATTCACTTAAGAACCATGTTAACTTATCAACTGCAGTTATTCACTTAACAACTGTGGCAAGAAGGGTCTTTAAATGGGGCAAAACTTAATGTCTCACTTAACAACAGAAATTTTGGGCTCAATTGTGGTTGTAAGTCAAGGATTATCTGTATTTTCACTGTACAAACTATGTGGTGTTTAACTGTGAAAAAAATAATTGTATGTCTATAACTAAATCTACACCTTCACTTCCATTCATCAACTATTCTACATGATCAGACCACTTTCACTCAGTTCTATGCACTCTACTTGCTTCTCTTAATTTTACAAGCTTTATCTGTATTTTATTTCATTCTCTTTATACTATACTCTTCGAATACTCCAAGTCACAATTTTAATATATCATGGTTGTCAACAGACAGGCCCACAATATTAGTCTCCACCATGTATTATGGCTTCAGTCAATCAAGACTTTCATTTTGAGTGAGATGAAGAAAGTTATAACCTTTGACATACCATGCCACATACAGCATTCCCTTATGATGGTGCATATCACCAAAGAATAGTTACACCCCAAACAGGCTCATGTTGCTGTAGGTAAGCCAGGATGTCTATCTAGTTCAGGGGCTACCTTGCAAACCAATTTTGCCAAACTCAGATGTGTAAGCATTGTGCTGACATGGCTCAGAACACCAGGATTTCCCCCCATTGAAATATTGGAGATCAGTTTGTGTTTTCAATGAACGGTGTCTCTCATATTATTGTTTTGAATGAACTCAGTTTTGAACAAGCCATTTTTGAAGGGCACAATTAGAAATAAAAGAGGCTGAATTTACTTCAAGTTCTACTTGGTAGTTTATTATTTTTTAAAAATAGAAAGGTTATCTAGTGATCTTTATGATTGTTAGCTGCCCAAAGCTTTCAGAACAGACAGCATACAAATAAAGTATTTTCGAGGAAACATGGTACTTTCAAATAAATACTGTGTTCCTCCAAAATAAGACCTATCCTGAAAATAAGCCCTACCATGTTTTTGCACATGCATAATCCTTACATAAGCCCTATCCCCAAACTAAGCTCTACTGAGTTTGGGGGTAGGGGTTATATTATTTTAATGAGTAGCCGGCCCTCGCCCATTCTGTCTGGTTGCTTGTAGTGCCGCAGACTTGAGGCGAGGCGGATGGGTGGAGCTGTCCCATGTGCCCTGCATCGGCTTACCTCAGGTCGCCCGCAGCCAGGCCATCTATGCCCCCAACACCTGCCTTGCAACAGAGGCTCCACCCTCCCCATCCAGCAGGACCTTGTGTGGCCACCTGCCTGTCTTCTGCTTAGTTGGGTGAGCACAATAAAGCAGGAGGCTGAATGATGTATTGGTGCCATGGCTGCGAGGCAAGACAGGTATCGGGCTGTGAATGGCCTGGCTATGGGGGCCTCGAGGTAACCAGCAGCTACATTGCTCTGCCTCATGGCAGTGGCACTAGCACACTGCAGAACCTCTTGCCCAGCCCTGAGCAAACAACAAGTGGGCCTCCCAGGTACTCTTAAAGTACATGGGAAAAACAAGACATCCCCAAAAACGAGACCTAGTACTTATTTTGGAGCCCCAAAGAAAATAAGACCGGGTCTTATTTTCGAGGAAACACAACTAACTAAATACATATTATACATATATAAATAGCATTTATTTGGCAATATCTGGGGTATTGCAAATGTATACATTTTTTTCATCGTACAGAGAATTGACCCCAATTTTGCTTGTCACTTCATAACAATTTTCACAGAATATTCTACCTTTTATCACTTTCTTTTTTCATTGTTGCTTCTAAAATTGCCAGTTCTCTTGCATAGTTCCTATGTGTAGAGCTGAAACAAGTATATTTTTTTCAGTTGTACTTAACATAGCATGATCAACAAAACATTGAAAATTAAAAAACCGATTAAATGAATAAATAAATAGAAATCAAACTAAGCCAAATCAATCCTCCTTAATAAATTAGGGATATGTATGTGTGTGTATGTATGTATGTATGCATGCATGCATGCATATATGTATGTATGTATATATATATTTTAAGAAGCAATGTGTATCTCTCTTTTTGGGGTAAGTGACCTTATGCAAAAAAGGAACTTTAACACAGAATTTTAAATAATCAATATGCAATACTATGAAAAGTCCCTTTCATACTTTGTTGATAGAATTAAGTGGAAGAGTGAATTTAAAAAAATCCTTAAAGGATTCCCCAATTACTCATTATATAGCAATATTTTGAACACTCCTATTCCCCACATTTATGATTATGCAAATAAAGATGTACTTTAATTTTCCAATGCTTTTGTTATAATAAATCTTACAACTAACATAAAAAGATTTATATGTATTTTTTTGTTTTACAGCATTTATTTTATTTATGTATCAAAATTAGGGACCACCACAGAGGTGGTGTTCAGCAGGTTCTGACCAGTTCTGGAGAACCAGTAGCGGAAATTTTGAGTAGTTTGGAGAACCAGCAAATACTGTCTCTGACTGGAGATTTTACAGCATCCTTCCCCTACCACACCCACCAAGCCACACCCACGGAACTGGTAGTAAAAAAAAATTGAATCCCACCACTGGACCACCTATCTTACTTAGAAAGTGACTCTTGTTTTATATGTTCTGGGGCAAAAAGGCCAATAAGGTAAATTTAATTATTAAAGATAATTGTATAATTTTAATAATTTTTTCAAACACTTTCAAGTTAAATGAGTGACTAAATGGGTACTACCATCAGAAGAAGTACATACTAATCTATTCAGTATTTAGAATGGTTCTCCTGGTAGAGAGAAACAGACATGTATGGGACCCAACTGGAAGGATATGTGACATAACAAAATGGGGATAATGAAAACTGGGGATAAAGTTAGGGGAACATGTTTGTGTATATGTGTGCATGTTTGTGTGTATGAACAAAGAAGACAGACTATGTCATTATGTTATAGCTGATCTAGCTCTCATTCTAATAGTAACAAAGAAAGCTAGATTCTCACAAAATGTTGTAGTTCAGGTTTAGGCAAAAAAAAAAAGACTTAGGACACAAATCTTAGGAACTGGACATTTCGTTTATCTTTTTCCAATCAGCATGTTAAGGAAGTTCTCTTTGATCCTGAGAGACTGGGGAGGAGGAAGGGAAGGAACTCAGTTTATGTAAGAGGCAACCGAACCAGATATGGTGGTTATGAGAAGAATCTGAAAAATATTCAGACTAAACTGACTCACTATAAGTTTGTCTCAGAAGTTAAAGTTTTTTAAATTATGTTTTTAATCCCTGACTAGCATTGGATGCCTTTCACAATTCCGTATGGTTGTTGCTTCTTTGGTTTGCCAGGTACAGGGCTTAACAGATGCTTTTGATCTTTCTACCTCTTAAATATGTGAAAACAGAAAGTTGGAATTGAGGTACTTTTTTTCAAAAACAAAAACACAGAGTTAACCCTCACTTCCTAAGGAGGAAGAGACAATGGAATAATATTTAAGTCCTAGGTGTTAGTAAGAAAAGTGCTGAAGAGCTGCTGGAGAGACATATGAGCAATAGATAGCATTTTCATACTGTACATAGAAAGAGCTGTCTGCCTAATTTGTCAGCTGTCTGACTAAAGTGCTTCATGGTAAATGCAACTCTCCATTAACTGGTAGCAATGAGATATTCAAGGTTGGATCCTTAAAGAGATGGAATGTATGGTATCTTTCTTTTTCAACAAAAAATGGTTATCTCATTTTATCTGCAGCAATGTATAATGATGCAATATGTGCAGTATAATGCAGTGTTGTTTTACGTTTTTCAGACTTAAACCAACCAGCAAATTAAAAAATATATATTTTAAACAATGAATAATCAAATGTATATTTCCTGATTTCAAATGCAACAAGAATGTATATTTTATCTGGAACCCTTTGCACACAATCTTGTAAACTGAACATTTATTTCAATTCCATGAAACTAAATTATACTTTTGCCTGAACTTTCATCTAGTTTTATAACAACTTGGTTTGCAAATCTTTCTCCTTAGTTACAGTATATCAGTTCTTGTTACATTTCTGATTCGCAGAAACTTAAGAAATAGAAAATCACTTTTTAGCATGATATTTGTACATAAGAAATGCAATAACTTACTCATATATATCCTGCATTTCATCCAGCTCCTCCTGTGTATTTTTTGTTTCTATTACACGCTTTGCCATATAGTCAAGCTTTTCTGTGAGCCAATTGGATAACTTTTCAAATCTATTTGAAAAATGAGACTTAATTCAATATTTATAAAATAATTCTTTACATGTTTTCATTTTATTAAACAAATGACTAGCCAACCATGGAAAAATGTACTTTTCTAGGGTAGCTTTCCAATATATACATAAAGACTGAGATTAAGAAAAGAATTACTCCAATCAAAATATTTAAAATCTGAGAAAATAGAGGGTAATTTGTTCATACAATCAGGAAGAGATAATCACAAAATGACAAGAATACAGGATACAGAATGTCAAAAACATGATTTCCTACTATAATTATTCAGATAGCCTAGCATAGACTTCCAGGATCCCTTTTCCCAATTCATATAGAAGTTTTCAAGTAAACATTATTCCATGGAGGAAGGACTCAGATGAAATCATTTAGCAGTAGTACTACCAGTTCCTACTGTAGACAGTCATTGTTTTTTCAGACACAGCAACTCTGCCTTCAGAGCCATCCTTAACTAACAGTCAGATTAGCAATATTCAACAATTTGAAAACATCAACTTGGAATTATTAGCAGTTTTTTCCCCCTGGGAATCAATTTCCATGTTAAAACTATTTAAAAGGTAAAGATTGCCCATAATCACATGGGATAATCCATGTATCTTCTAGATTACTATATGAAAGTAGTTTGCCACTGCTTTCCTCCAGGATGTCCTTTGGCATCCCAACTTAGCTTACAGACCTGGGATTTCTTGATGGTATTCTGTCAAATACTAACCAGGCTTGATTCTTTTGGGGATCAGCCAACATTAGCAAGATGCTGTCACTAGTTGAATGCTAAGTATAGTTAGCAATAGCAACAGCACTTGCACTTATATACCGCTGCACAGTGCTTTACAGCATTCTCTAGGTGGTTCAATGTCAGCATATTTCTCCCAACAATCTGGATCCTCATTTCATCGACCTTGGTAGGATGGAAGGCTGAGTCAACTTTGAGCTGGTCAGCACTGAACTCCTGGCTGTTCTAACCAACTCCACACCGGCTCATGGAATTTATTTGTTTGTTTATTTATTTATATTTCCTATAATATAGCAATAGCAATAGCACTTAGACTTACATACAGCTTCACAGTGCTTTTTTACAGCGCTCTCTAAACAGTTTTCAGAGTCAGCCTATTGCCCCCAACAATCTGGGTCCTCATTTTACCAACCTTGGATGGAAGGAAGGCTGATCAACTTTGAGCCAGTGAGACCCGAACTGCCAAACTGCAGGCAGCCAGTGATCAGCAGAAGTAGCCTGCAGTACTGCATTCTAACCATTGCACCACTGCGGCTCTTATATATTTTTATATTTCCTATTTTTTAACCATCTATCTCCTTCAGAGAGGAGCTCTGGGTGGTGTAAAATATAATCAATAAAATTAACATTAAAATTATAATTAATTTAAGATTAAAATATTTTAAAATTATAAAAATATAAAAATAACATTATAATTATAGGAGATATATTTCCTAACAGAAAACAGGAGTACTTGCTTAGGTTAAATTACTGACACACCTAATATAAGGCATAGAATGGCTACCCTTGGATAATTTGAACAAAGTATTTTTTTTCCTTGAACAAGATGGATATATGAATTATGGTAAAATAATTATGCTAAAATAATTTTGACAACTTCAGACATACAGATTTTAAATAAAAATAACACTCCTTGTACGTGGCGAGATCCTATTTAGGTTATTATGCAGTTCAGACATGGGCTGTTTACTCGAAAGCACCTAACAATTTTATTATAATTTTAAGTACTATGGAATTAAAAACAAGTTGAAGCATTAACGTACTCTGCTGCTAGCTTGTCTCTTTCAGAACAAAAATGTTCTTCTTCACTTGTTAATATTTGGTATTGCATATTAAGAGTATCATTTTCCTCCTTGACTTTTTGATAGACTTCCTGAAGTTCTTGCAGTTTCCGGTCAATCTACAAAAAATCCCAGAATGATTTATTTAACTAAAAGCTTAATGGTTCTAAAAACATTCACATTCCCATGCCTTCCAAAAGATTATAAGGTATTATTAAAGCAGGTCTTACCCCCTGAAAAATATCTTTGTCAATAAACCATTTAAGTTTTAAATTAATCCACTTTTATATTTGAAAAAAATAAATATGAACACATTAAATATATTTTACAAATGTATCTGCATCTGTTGTAACATAGATGATTAAAAGGGAGCAAAACTCCCCACAGCCTCAACCTATGATGTAAATGGGCGTTGGTTCTTACCTGACACGCCATTTCTCTTCGAGCTGCGAGGATCATCCAGAGAGTGGGACTAGGTAAGAGTGATTTAACACCCATTATGGGAGGACTAGAACTCACAGTCTCCTGTTTCTAATTCAGCAACATCAAGCTTTCTCTATCAGTCAATCAATAATTCAATCAATCAAATATATAAACAATTTTAACTCAACATCACAGCCACACTTCACAATGTTTTACAAATGTTTTAATTTAGAAATAGATTTTTAAACTTAGGAATTTTTAAAAAATGTTTTTTATGATTTTCAATTGAAAGCTTTACATTTATAAGGTTGTCCAATTTCTTTGATGACTCTTAAGTGGCACACATTTTCATATGTTAGATGTAATATTACCTGTTTTCCTAATTTTACTGTTTTGGACAGTTGTATACTGAAGAAATCAGCCAATAAAAAAACAGTGTTTTTTTATTGGAACAGTGTTCCAATATTTAAGGGGCTGCCACAAAGGAAAGGGGAACAGCCTGTTCTCCAAAGCACATGAAGACAGAACAAGAAGCAATGGATGGAAACTAATCAAGGAGAGAACCAACCTAGAATTTTCCTGGGAGAATAATTAATTAATAAAACAGCTTATCTCCAAAAATTGTGGGTGCTCCAACAATGGAAGTTTTTAATAAGAGATTGGGCAATCATTTGTTTGAAATGGTATAGGATCTCCTGCTTGAGTAAGGAATTGGACTATAAGCCCTCCATGATCCCTTCTAACTCTGCTATTCTATTAAACTTATGAATTACAAAGAACGTAGCATTAAATTTAAAAGGTAAAAACACTATCAAGTTTTAAACTAAGAATACACATACATTAGGAACCAAAGTCAACACAGTATAAATGACTGAAATTATACGCTATTATAAACCAAATTAATACCAAGAATCTATTTTAATTGGAATATCCCGTGAAGTTAAAATATAGATTCCTTACATAGAAAAAAAAACCTAAATTTGGATGAGGTACAAATCCATGTATTAAGTCATAATACAGGATAGTTTCCAGTTAAAATTGAATTCTATATCAGTTTTATTTTTAAATTATGTAATTATTCTGGACATCAAAGAATTTGTTTAGCCATCTTTCTAAGGGAGGAATCAAATAGCCTATCCAATAAGAAGCATATCATGTCACAGTTAATATATATAAAACTAATTTAGTAGACTTTGAAGGGTTTAATAAAATTTAGTTTAATAAAATAAAAATAAAAATTGGTTTAATAAAATTCAGTAAAATATGTTAGTTGAAATGAGAATTCAATTTTAAAATCTGTTTCATTCTAATATGTTGAATAATTGTGAGCATGACGTTGTTAGCAGATAGTTTCATCGTTAGTTTCATTACTGTCATTTTATTTGACATAGTTTGACTATCAATGTTAGTAAAGCCACTAAAAATAAATATCTCATTATGTAGTTGATACAGGAGTGAATGTATCAATATACTTTAAATGATTCCATAAGAAAGCTGCCTAGTTTTGATGCTTTACAATTATTCATATCAAAATCACTTTTTTCATCTTATCCATGGTTAAAGTAATATTGTTACTGATTTTTTAGTTCTTTTTTATACTTTTGTTTTTATAAAGAGATAATTAAAAACAAAAAGATCAACTTATGGTATAAATTCATCTTGTTTGGTTTATTTTAAGTTGGCTGCATTCCGTGAATGAAAATAGAGTAATGGCATTGAAAAGAGCAAAAAAAATATCGACTTTCATGGAAAAAATAATAATTTGATTATAGAATTAATTTTCTTGGCTGAAATCAGTTACTTTTTTGCTTTTTTGAAGGGTATTGAGAATTAATCTCACTACAAAACAACAAAATAGCAATTCAGCAATAGCAATGTAGCAAAGCATCTAATGCAAAAGAGTCAAACTGATTGAGCAAGGTTTAGGATTAGGGTTTGGAGCATATTTCAAATTTTAGGGTTAGTTATGGGCACTCTTTCAAACGATGGGTAGGCAATCACAAAAGAAAATGTAAACGGAGTTGTTCTTTATCACTAATCAAAACAAAGCTTTATGTTGTTGTTTTAACATGTTTTTTTATTTTCTAAAAGTGTACCTCGTGTATATAAGGGTCAAAGTTTAGCTAAGGTTAAGATTTAGATTAAGTGTAAGTGTTCTGACCCAGGCTTCGTAAAGTAAACCGTAATTATTCACAAACTTGTTTTAAAACCAAAACCTATTTTATTGCAACGCTGGGAATTGTTTTCATTCCTAGCTGGAATTAATCTCAAACAATCCCCCAAGATATGCACACACCTTTCAGTTCTGTGAAGTGTTGCCAAAAACAGAAGTATCAAATTAACTAGAAAAGAAACCAACTGAAGTACAAGAAAAACCAACCAAACTGCAAAGAGCTTCAAGGATGACTTGGAACCAATGAAACTACTTTGCTTCCTGGAAAGGTTTTGTCATCTTTGCCTGTCCTTTATACCTTATGGGAGGGACAATCACCTCCCAGCCTTACTCCCGAGTTGCCCCCTTTGTTTCAGCTGCTCTCGCCTTCTAGTAGCTGCTCTCGCCTTCTAGTAGCTCTGCGCACACGTGCACTGGGAACAGGCTCCCCGGGTCCTCTGCCTCACTGCTGCCAGACCCCAAAGGCTCCGAAAGCAGCACCCCACTTCCAGATGGTCCTGGCCCCATCTCTTCATCGGACACAGGACCCTCGTCCAAGTCCTCTCCAGACTCCCTGACTGGTCCCCGTTCTTCCCCACTGTCTGATTCCGCTGCCGTCTGCACCGGCTACCGGCGAACCACAACAGTAAGAAAATGAAATCAGGCAAAGGGGGACTTAACATCTATTTAATTTCACCAAATATTATTCTTAAATTAATTTAGTTCTACTCAGGTAAATGAAATTAGGATCAATTAATAGGTTAGCAGCAATAGTGTTGTATTATTTCCCCATCGATTTTTCTAAACATCTTTAAGTTTTTTTAGTTGCAGAAACCATGTCAATGATTTGACTATATTTCAAGAATGAAATCAGAAGATAATGTTAAGAAATATGCATACTGTATACAATAGTGGAATTGATATTGAAGAAACTTCAATTACACATAATTCCTAAGTTTCTGTCAGCAACCAGAGTTATGTGCACATAGTTACCTATAAAAGAACTGCCTATACTGCTCACTTCAATGAAAGGATGGGGCAGAACTACCCTGGCCTCTTCCCACTAAATAGTTAATCGGTACAAAAATGGGCTGAGGGTCATGACAAGTATTCTTTATTTCCATTATTTCTAAACTCAGTAGCACGATCTGTTCTTTTTACCTCCGCTAGCTGCTGTAGCAAATTTTCTTTTTCTTCATCGAAGTCTGTATCTAATGAAACTAGACTGTCCTGAAGACAAAGCCTGAAAAACAATAATCAAATCAAAGCACCATGTTCTTATACAGAAAGAAGCCATCAAGCACAGTTTATCTTGTGTCAGTTTACATACTTCACACAAGCATTTTTCTTTTTTTAGAAAAACCAAGTTGTATAAAAATGCCAACAGAGAGATTCTGTATAATTTTTTTACAGAGAACCACTGCCTAAAAATACAAGAACTCACACCATTTGCTTTTGATGCTATATATTCCTATATGGAACACAATAATGGGTTTTCTTAATGCTAAAGATGATCCAAATCTTGTTGCAAGATGTAATTACAGGAATTTTAGAAAAAAAATAGACAAATTCACTGTGGATAAATCCATCAGTGATAGTCAGTTATGATGGCAGGATACTCAAGAAACAAAGGCATCAGCTTCTGAATACCTGCTGCTGGGAAACTGAGGGAAATATATTGGCCCCATATCCTGTTTGTATGCTTCTCACAGCATTACTGTACAAATTCATAAAAATATAAATCTAACAACACGTTGACTGCAAGCAAATCCTTTGGCTTCTGGAAAAAAAACAGGGCCAAAACACAAGATATAAATTAACAAGCCCCTTTACATCTTTTGCAGCCTAAAGTCACAAAGGGAAATATGCAACACCTACAAATTAAATAAACTAATATGGTATTAGGGAAACACTGGACATTACATTCACACTGGATTTGCCATTAATCAGAAGTACCTTGAAGGCTTTAAAAAAAAAACACCAGAAAATTTAACATTTAAACCATTGCATTCTACTTCATGCTCAGCACAGAAATCCAAATTAATTAATTGATTAACCACTCTGGTGATATGATAATCTCTGAAGCAAATAAAAGTATTAGCATCTCTTCCTACCAGTCATCTCTTATCAAAGCCTCATATATCCAGTACTTTACATCTTTCTTCATAGGACTCACAATTCTAACCTGCTAATCATGCTCATGATTATTCTTTAAACATGTTCCAAATTCTCTGAACACTGTAAGTGTGGTGCCCAAACTAAATATATAACTTGAAATGGGATCTGACCAAAGATGAATGAAAGGGATCGATTACTTCCCATTAGTTGAAAATTATACATGGTGCTGTCTAACATTTGCCTTTCTTGCACCCATATTTTTCTGCTGGTTAATACTGTATTTATTTTGCAATCAACTATTATTCCAAGATCTTTTCCATAAGTACCATTACTGATTTTTCTTTCCTAGGTAAATAACTTTGTACTCATCACTGGGGAAGCTGACAGGCGATAGATGTATATTAGATAACTTTCCACAATCAATCAAAGGTAAAGTGCACATGTGTTTAGGTTCATTGTATTCATTTTGATGTTAATCATTACATGTTAATATGTTGCATGTGAATAAGAAAATTCAACTGTATGGAAGGAAAATGTATACTGCCATCTCCTGTTTAAAAGGATTAAGTAAGAAAATGTTAAAAAGCTTTTTCACCAACACGTTTTGCACATTGTACTAAATCATGATTTGTCTTAAAATCTGGTTTGTTGAGCAAATTATTGCACCCCAGTTCATATATAAGTCATGCTTCATAAAACACAACTTCTGAGTCAACATTTTTCAAATTAAGCTTATAACTTAATTTGAATGTAAATCATATTCTAATTACTATTTGCTATAGTATTTTATATCTTTTAGTGTCCAGTCAGAACTGGATAACCTGAAGGAAGAGAAGGGATTCTACCGGTTTGGTAAGAAGAAGAAGAAGCCACGCCTACCCAGTCACATGACCATGCCCACCTAGCCACGCCCACAGAACTGGTTGTTAAAAAATTTGAATCTCACCCCTGCCTGAAGGCTTGCTTTCTACTACTACTACTACTACTACTACTACTACTACTACTACACACACACACACACACACACACCCCAAAGAGATAAAAAAACTCAAGTGCAATTGCAACAGAAAAGTATATCTTGTTTACCTTTTTTTAATAAGCTCCTCTTTCTCAGCCTTTTTCCTCTCATACTCTTGTATTAGATCTTTGATGGTTTTTAATATTTCTTCTAACTCCTTTTTCAAATAAGTAACAACCTATGAAAAATACAAATAAGACAATAGTATAAATGGTAACTATATAAAAAGCTAATTTTATACTGATACAGGTAATTAGTAAAAGTTCATATTGCTCCTATTAAAGTAATTAAAACACTGAAATAGAGAGAGTCCTATAATTCAGATGGACAGTCGGGACCAGAGTTTCCATTGCTAAACAATGTAGTTATAAAGTACTGTATATCTTCCTGTGACTGCATCAATTAGCAACAGTAATTGTGGCAGTCCCAGTTGCTGTCATAATCCCAGGACTGTGTGGGTTATGTAATGGGATGGGGAAGGGGATTTCCAGGCAAGCAGCTGGCAGGTACATGGGTGCCACAGGAAGTTGTCAGGGTCAGTTACTATGGAGTTCGGGTGCTGTGGAGTACCTACCGCAAGGACATGCTACAGATCACATATGAGTACATGGGTCCTCCAGGACGTGCCAGAAGCAGGTGAAAAAGTGGTAGGACTGACTTATGATTTCCTGACAATTTCCCCATTGACTATGCTTGTCAGAAGGTGGCAGGGAATGTGGGGAATCACAATCGCATGACCAAGGATTACTGAGGGACGGATTTTTAATTGGTGAACTGGTTTAACTGATCTGTTTTTTTGAGAAGTGTTTTATGGTTGTTGTTTCTTACTTTTGATCACTGTCTATTGTTCCTTTGATAGACAGGTAGCCTTACAAATTTAATAAATACGTAAATAAAATGTTCAATATTTAACCCCCTAATGCATTGAGATGCAGTCTACCTAAGACTGTACTTATATAGTCTCAATTAATTTTATACCGGAAAAATATAATGCTCAGTGGATATAACTTTGAAATGGCACATTACCAAAGGCACAATTCAACGTACCTGATTATAATATGAAACTTTCTTCTGTAAACGACATAGTATTTTAAGCAACTCTTCAAATTCTTTCTTCTTTTCCTCAGCCTCATTTTTTCTCATCTGAAGTTTTTTCTGAAGTTCTTCAATCTACAGTAAAAACCAACTTTAATATAGCTAAAATTGTTACTTGTACATTATTTAGCACTTTCTATGGATCCCTCCAGCATTGTTGGAGAGATATTAAAACGGGTAAGAATTGTTTCACAAATGTTGGGATTTATGTTCATGGATATATTTTAGCAAATTATATAGTGGCAGCCTAGATTTAAGATCCCAAAATTATAATGAGCAGAAATGTTTTACATTCACCTGATTGATGTTTTTCATGTATAAGGCTTCAAACTCAATTCCAGTGTACTACACTTTATGAGCAGTTTAATTTTAAACCATGGAGGACTTTTCGGAAAACCCTCTGGATGGATGTCCTCAAGACTGATGCTTTCATTAATGCAGTGCTAAGGTTCAATTCATAAAACTGTACCTGTCGCCCTAACGATGCTTTCTTTTCTTTAAATTGAAGGGCTTCTGCAGCCATTACTTGCTTTAGATCTTCAATGGCAATCTCTTCCATGGCCGTTTCATCTTCCTCTTTTTTTGTCATATTACGAAGTTCATTTATTTTAATGTTCATGGAATGCTTTGCAGCCATTTGTTGGTTTACTAATTGGACAATTTCATTATATTTCTCCCATGTTTGATCTTGCTCTTTACTGCCAAAAGAAAATTGTGAAGAAAGCTTAAAAATGACAGTAAACAACATAAGCCAACATTCATTCATTCATTCATTCATCTATCCATTCATCAACTCATCCATCCATCCATCTATTCATGCAATTAACTAACCAGTTATTTATTTATTTATTTAGTTGGTTAGTTAGTTAGTTAGTAAGTATGCCAGCCATTACCAAAGACTCTGGATAGCTAACAATCAAGATGAGCACAAAATAAAAAACTACCCCCTTAAAAATGATAAAGTTGCCCATAATATAAACAAAATTGTTATCATCAAAATATAAAACTTAGTATATAAACAAAATTGGCAGTATCAAAATAATGTACAGAAAACATATAAATTTAAGTGCCCTTCAGTTTCAACTTTCATTTACAACGTGCCCTTCTGGTAAGCTAGACAGAATAACCAAGGCTCAATTACTCTTCTGAACTCAGTAGGGAAAGAGAAGATCAGACATAATTTCAAAATATGGGGGGTGGGAGGGAAGTAACAATCCTAGACAGTACTGACTTTATTTGATCTGATTTAATGGTCAAATTAATTTGGCGAAAGCACATCCTTGGATAATCTGGTCCAGAACCATGTAAGGCCATCAAGGTGACAACAAGGATCTGGAAGCCAAATGGTAACCAATAATAATAATAATCCCAAAGCAGTGGATTCATCTTATTATACTGAACTGGGATACTCACTATTGTTCGACTATCACACTTTGTACCAGTTGTACCTTCCAAATGCTTTCTAAGAACAGCCCCGTGTGGAACACATTATAAAAACCCAAGTAAGAGATGTTTAAGACCTGACTGACTACAAATCTCCCTGGCCACAAGAACTACCTATTGATTGAATAGGAGCTGTGAATCCAGGATCTGCCAAGTGCAAACCAACTCTGAACATAGGAATACCAATCATTCATAGTCAAAGATAATATTTCTTGGAATCATAAACTCAAAGTCACTTTTCTTGCAGGGATTCATTTCAAGTCTGTTCTTTCTCATCCAGACCCTAAAAAGCCTCAGAGTATTGGTTCAGCTTTCTATTGAATCACCTCTGTGGTCAAGGGCTGATATATATATATATAGGTTAGGGTTAGAGTTAGGGCCTCTGGAAGGAGTAACACCACTACAAAACAGCGCCCAGTACTCCAGTCTTGCCAAGGCACTCCAGAAGGATACCATGGTAAATGGTACTAAAAACTATTGAGAAATTGAGGACTTGAAGGTTGCAGGCACCCCTCTGATCCTGGTCTCTCTAAAGGTCATCAACAAGTGTGACCAATGTAGTTTCTAGGCTACCTGCTATCTTGAAAGTTGAAACCCATTGCCAAGGGCCGATAACATTGTTACATCTCTATACTATGCTATGCAAAGAGGAAACACCACAAATATTAAAAATAATTTTTTCCCAACAGTGGATTGCACATACTTCCTTATAAAATTTAGCAGGAATAAGATAGAAATTATGTTACTGTTTCTCAAATGCACATATTTCATAAACACTGAAACTAATTGTTGAAGCTTTCAGTTAGATGTTCCATGCTTTTTAAAAATTTTGTACAAGTTATTTTAGGTAAGTAAAATAATAGTAGAGAGTACATGGACCTTAGGGTAAGGAATTGAATATTACAATTGCTCATTTTTACAAGCAAATAGTGCCTACCACAGTGTTTCATTTTGTTCTTCAAAGAGCATTTGCTTTGTGTACACCTCTTCTACTGCAGCAATAGTTTCATTCATAGAAGCTTCTACTTCTCTTAACTTGTTAAGATGAAATCGATGGGCAGCAGCCACAAGTTCTAAAATAAGGAATTTTAAAACAGAAAGACAGAAATAAATAAATTATTAAATCCATTTTTAATGTTTCTATAAATTACCAGATCTCTGTGGTAACTTGAAGTGCCGAATGAATCATCTAGAAATTATAGAAGTCACAGGGAAACAAGGCCCCGATAAAACACTGACTCTAAAGGCTAGCCACACTGAAGTGGTAGTTGGACTTAGTCTTCATTCTGTCTAGATATTCCAGTTATACTGCATAGATCTGTTTCCACAGAAACAAGTCCTTGAAAATACTGATGTCTTGAAAGCTGGAATATCAAAAAAAAACAAAAAACCTCTTTTATTATTTGCCATATAATATTGATGATCTATTAACTCCACATATGGAGCTTCAAATATATGCAATGTTTCATGTTCCATGAATTTCCTGATCTTCTTTTAAAGCAGTTATTTTTCCATATTCACCTTCACTTATTCTAATACCTCTTCAGCCGAAGATTCAAGCAAACAAGAAAAGGATCCGTAGTATATTCCTATACTTCCAATACTTGGAAAATCTTGGTAATATTTAAATGCATTAGGGCCAAACAACCTAATTCACTCTTGGCTCTCCATCACAAACTTTATCTGGTCTTCTATAGGATTCATCCTTTCAGATCATTAATAAGAGTTTAAAAGAAGTTGCTGTCTTGAACAGTAGGTTATTAAAACTTAATCCTTTTTATCAGATCAGTTTGGAGATGTGTTAGTGGGGATCTGGGATTAAGCAGTATGTAAACAGCAGGTATGTATTGATTTCACATTTTTTTCTAAATCAGGTATAAATAATAAAACTATTTATATAATGTTTCTTAGTTTCCTCTTTTAATACTTAAAAATTATAGCTCAATTTCTATGATCCAAATCCAAATATTAATCAAAATAAGTTATATAAAGCTGTCTGTCAACCTGCATAGTTCTTAAAATAAATTATTATAATTAGCAAATTAATCATAAGTTGCATTCTCCAATGCATTTTACTTTAAGATAAAATGGATGATCTTAAAAATACCTTCAAATTCTTTCATAACAATTGCTGGGAAATTCTTGACTCTGATACGGAGATTACAGTTTTTTATGGTCTCTTCTTCCAACAATTCAATTGTATCTTTTCTCTCCTTTTCCTAAAAATTGACAGATATATGACAAAGGAAAAAAATCTGATTGCTGTATCTTTCCTAAACTCTGTAGGTACAGACTTTTTTTTGTAGTGATAAAGTTAATATAAAAGAATTATTGCTTAGATCTCTAATAAATTTCAGTAAATGGGGCAAGGCAATTTGAAGTTACAGTGGACTTCTCCAGAACTATTTGACCCAGTTTTGAAATTCCAATGGCTGCCCCTCCACAAGGTGACATTATCGCATTTTGGGCACTTGGCAACTGGCCCACACTTATATCCTAGTTATATTTACTATGGTTTTTGGCTTTTTTCTCCCAAAACTGGCATTTATTTCCAGTTTCCATTAAAAAAAAAGCCCATTGGCTTAAATGCATGTATTTAACGACCACTTAATGACCACAGCATTTGCTTAATGACTGCCCCATAAAAGGCCATAAAATTAGGTTAGGTCACATGGTGACCCGCTTAATGACTACCATGAGTTATGACCGTATTTCTGGGCTCAATTATGGTCAAAAGTCGAGAACTACCTGTATTCTTTCCTCCCCTCTCCCCCTCCAGACTGTGGGAGATCTGGCATGACTAAATATTGTCAGCAAGTTTAATAGAATACTAAGATTTTGAAATCAGATTTGAATCCAGCACTGCCTGGAAAAGCAAGTTGAACAGAGGGCATGGGAGAGAAGATGAGTTATAAGGTACATTGTGTGCAAGGTTTTTTTTAAAAAAAGCTCACCATTATCCTAGCAGAGATCTTTTTACAGCAACACTGAACTCTAATAAGAGTACATCCAGGACACAAATATTTATCCATAGATTCATTGCAAGACTATTTAGTCTAACTCAAATTTTGTAAGCACAACACATGTACTTTTTAAATATCTAGAGAATACTTTTTTAGATTTTGATATTACCAATTTTTTAATGGCTTTGACAGCATCTTCAAGGTGCTGTACAGTTTCTTTGTTGAATAGTAGTCTTTCATTCTGAAGCTGTTTTTCTAAATAAAAAGGAAGAACAAAGAAACCTGACTTGAAAATACTTTTCAGTTTTCAATCACATTAAGTAAAATAATGCTTTGCAACTTGGAAGTTAACTTCACAGTTATTAGTTTGACATTTTAGTTGCAGAATGAATTCTGGGAGTTCTCAGCCAAATAATCATTGATGGGACCTATTGTGTAAGGACAGAAGATACTAAGCCAGCACATTCAAAAGGGGGTGGGGCAAGTAGTTTAATATGCTGCAATTTCCCCAAGTAGTGCTATATGTATGTTAAATAATATTGTCAAGATTTAGCCATTCAAATAGAACTTGAGAGGTTTTGATAAATTGACAAGAAAATCAAGGAATTCTGAATATGTAATACTGAAGAATTTCAGTGATTCAAGAACTAGTCCTATTTATAGATACAAGTTCCTAATCTTCTTTCTTCCCTAACTATGTAGCAAACTACACCACCACCACTACCCCTTTGAATAAACTTCTCACACTGTTTTTACTGACATTTTGAGAAACCATGAAATACAACTCTCGCACGTGGGAGAGAGAGCTGAGTCATGCAGCGCCTGACATTGGTATGGCCAAGGACTTAAGAGACTTCCCCTTGAAGTATCCAATGTATTTCTGATTCAGGTAGTGCTCTTGCAAATCGTTCAGAAGGATGCCTTGGTCAGTTGTATAGAATGTTGCTGAGAGGGAACTGAAAGGACCAGGACCACATTCCCTCCACTGAGTTTCTGAAGAAAATCAGCCACAAAACTGACCACTGCAGTTTCAGTTCATATCTGGTCCTGAACCCCATCTACCAGGTATCCATGTACTCTATTTCTTCTAGGATCATCTGCAGCCCAAGTTTAGACTCTTTTTCCAAAACTTTCTATAAAAAAAGAAAGGTGGAGACTTATTCAATTTGTTTATTACTTTTGGATTAAGAGGGAGGAATATCAGTATTATTGTCAAGACAGCATGCACCACTCCCTCTTTCAAAGAGACACGGATTGTCTTTTGAACCCAGAAGCTCACTTCCACTTTTTACTGCTTGAAAAAATGAAGTAGCCATAGTCATGCAGCCTGTCTACAATATTAGAAGTCTACAAGCTGAGAAAATCCCAGATCACTACTCAAGGTCTTGATCAAATTATCTTTAGTGGTTCTGCCAAAGGAAAGTCAAGAGCTGAACTAATATGACCAATTTGTTTAAGATAAAGGTAAAGGTTTCCCTGTATAGTTGTGTCTGACTCTAGGGAACAGTGCTCATCTCAGTGCTCATCCCTCAGTAAGGGAGCCAACATTGTTCAAAGACATTATCCATGGTCATGTAGTCAGAATGGCTATACGCCAAAAGTAACAGCATTCTGTGCTGTTACCTTCCCACTTAAGTTGTACTCGCATTTTGTAATCTACTCGCATTTACATGTTTTGAACTGCTAGATGAGCTATTTGTTTAAACAAGTTTGCAATTTATTTAACAAAATGCAAACAATTCCTCTCAGAAAGTTCACCTTTATTGGGTCATTGGATGGTACTCTGCTCACAAGGGCAGAGAAATGCTGATGCTTCACTGCACATTACCCTAGCATGGTTTTCTAACATATGAAAACCTATGGTTGGCTATGTTTCCTATTTTTCTTTTCCATTACTCTAAGTATTGTTTCTGCTCCTTCAGCTCCCCTAATTTCTTTGTAAACGAGCAAGTACCACACAACCTGAGAGCAAAGAATGGTCATCTAGGACCAATCCTTGTTACTCTCTGGAATTTAGAATTCAGAGAGTATTGAATTCTGGCATTCAGCAAAATCTGAATTCCCAAAATAGACTTGGGATGTTGCCAAACTCCCTACCACATTGCTAAGAAAATATTTAAAAACTTGCTAGAATGGACTGATAAGATATCTGAGGTGAGTCAACGTAATTGTTGTGCCCCCACCCATTGACATCAGTTTTAGTATTGAAAATGTTGACCAGGAAATCATTAGACTGTGACAAAAGACTGATTTAATGTCTTCCACTTCTCCATGTATACGTTTTTATATGTCTTCAATCCCCAGATGCACATGATGTAATCTCTCTCTTCTCTGAGAGTTTAGGGGAAGGTAGATTGTATATACATTTCTGATAGCTTCTACGCACCCTTTCTTGCGAACCACTGAGTAGTTTTAAATAGTTCCTAAAGCTCATGCACTGTATATATTCATTTAAGTGTCAAGATCTTTGAGTTCAATTCTAAGTAGAAGGTCTGAAGTCCACAGAATAACAGTTGCCTGTCCATGTATGATAGTTCTCAATAAGGATGAAACTATGGTGCAATGCATGAAAAATAGAGAAAGTGACACATAGCCTGCTATAGAGGCAAAATTTTGAGAGAATATAATTCTTTATTGGAATAAAATTCTTTATTGGCCAAGTGTGATTGGACACACAAGGAATTTGTCTTGGTGCAAATGCTCTCAGTGTACATAAAAGAAAAGATACATTCGTCAAGAATCATAAGGTACAATTTGTTTTGAAAGGTTTCCCCATATGCAGCAATTAAAAAAAATATCAGAATAAAGATAACTTCAAAGACAAAACAAAATAGTTTTCAAACGCAAGTTCTCAGTACAAGAGATTATGAACTAGATGAGAAAATAATATTTAAGTGCAAAATGCCAGGAAGCATAATAAGAACACTAGGTTACAACTGGCCATGCTTGTGAAATTTAATGCTTAAGTCACATTACAATTAATTAACAATAATGCACTTCGTCTGGTCAGATAAAATGTAAACTGGTGAAATATGTATTGGGATACATGTATGTCAGCAACCAAGTGAAAATTTTAATTCATAATGAATAATAACTGCAAATCTGCATGTTTAATATTTCCTGATGTCTAAATAAGTAAGAACAAGCAACATCTGAAATATTATAAAGACTTGATTTATGTCTCTCCATGTGACAATATATTCATCAAGTATACCATATATGGTTGGCGGATGAAGACCTGGGTTCAGCAGAGAAAGGCATAGGATAAAGACAATGAGAAGGAAAGGAATGAGACTCTATGCTACAATGTTAAAATTCCATACATCTTTTTGAAAAATAAATTCACAATTTGCAGGGTTTTTTTTTACTACAAATTATCTCAGTATATTTTCTCACCCAACATTGGAAAGGCCCTGCAATGAAGAATACCTCGTGTTTCCATATAAAATGCCCATTCCTCAATCTTTGCCTCTCCACAGTATAAAATTCCCAAAATTTGGATCCCTCCCATGTTGCCAAGTTCATTGGCTCAGATGATGTAGACCCAAGCCCCTATTTCTAAAGAGATTAAGGGGGGGGGCAAGATGAATTAATGGAAGATAAATCTAAGAATTGGATATATAACTTGTGTGGAGGGTGCCATCCCCTCACCAAGGCTATAACTGAATCTAGGTTTAATCCTTGCGGGGGAAGCAGTAGTGACAACATAAGATGCCTTATTGCTGTGCGTTTATATTTCACAGGAGAGAAGAGAGAAAAATATCCTCTCAATATTAAGACATGCTGAAAAGGTGAACTGGCAAATCATTCCCTTCTCCCAAGTCCGAGGAAGCAGCGATTCTTTCTCCCTTCCCCGCGGGAGCGCCACCAGCTCTCTTCCCACGTTGGGGTCCCTCTCACTCGCACTTTCAAGATGGCCACGCGCAAGCTTTCAAACACGGGAGCCTCACAGCTCTGCCTAAGCAACCGCGGAGGAAGGAAAGCGCTCACCCACGCCTTGCAGATGCTTCAGTGCCGCCGCCGCAGACTCGGAACAGCGGGACGAGTGAGAAGGAGGCGCCATCACCCCACCTCCACACTCCGAGCTAGACCGCGCGGGCGGTTACTATGACAACCGGAGCCGGCTGGCCTTGCGCGTGCCTCGCAAGACCCGTCTGTTGTTGCTGTTCCAAAGCAGCCGAGGAAAAATGATAGGGGCGGATTTAAAAAATGCTCTGTCTTTTATTTATTTATTTATTCCCCTCCTTTCATTTGGAACCGAAAAACTGCAATACACTTGGGGATGGGGGTAGGGGGCGGTGGGGAGAAGGTGGGGTTGTTTTTTTTTCAACACTGGGGAGGGTCTTTTAATAAATATGAAAGAATCCTGGAATTCTTATGAGTCAGTAAGCACCCAGTTATAAGCGTGTTTTCCTTTCTTGCGTTTAAATAATTATATCAGGGTTTACTTAAAGAATAATATACAACCAAAGGCATTTTTGTTTCCAGATAGTTGCTGAAATTGTAGTCGTTTATGTGATTTTTCTGTGTCTACAGTTAGAGCTATAAAATGATAAAATGGGCATTGCACAGAACTATGAATGCATTTTAGCTGATGCTTTTTAGAAATGCAACAAAATCCGTTATACTTGGCATAACATCTTTTTTTTTTTTTAATGAAAGTTACGTTAGTGGTTCACCTAGGCATTTGAGAATTTAAGAAATTTATTCAAGAGGGGCTCTTGAAGATAAATGAACATGATCAACAGGATCTTTAGGTAGAGTGCCTAAAGTCACACACATAATATATATAAATTATTAAAAGTAAAATAGCTAAAACTACCTCACGGGCCAAAAGCTTGCTGAAATGACACAGGTTTGGCTAGTTTATAGAATGTCAGTAGGGTATATTTCGGTACCTCTAAGGGAGAGAAAGAATGGTGCTGGTGCTGAAATGGCCTATAACCATCCTGGTGGTGGGGGTAGCAAAAAGATGATGTAGCTGTGATGAAGACTTTTCCTTTGCATGCAACGCATATTAAAAGGGGTGGACTCCAGTTGTGCAGGCACAGCTGCCATCTTGGCTTTTTCACTTCTCTCTGGATATTCCTACAGCTCATGTACCTCTGTTGGAAGGGGAACCCACAATTGGGCCCTCTTTGATCATTATATCAAATCAGATTTTTGTATTAAAACACCGACAACATGACATCTTCAGGGAGCTTCTGTATCACCTGCTAACTAGAGGCTGCTGCTGCTTTAAGAAACAAAGGACATGAACACTTTGCCTTCAGCTGACTTTCATCCTACTGGATGAAAGCTTGTGCTCATGTCTTCCTATTTTGTTTCGGCAGTGGAGTTCCCTCATACTGGATGGCACAAGTGTAGTGCACTCTGCTGAATGGCCTGGAGGTAAGCTTGCTGGCAATGGGTTGCCGTTTCTGTTGGCCATCTGAGGACACAGTAGACATACCTACAGCTATGGTTCCAGATTGATTCTGGGGAACTGTTCAACTATTGGCAGTAGGAGGATCAGGGCTTTCCCCACTACCAAATTGTCATCTCTTCCACTTGGTCAACCATTAGAGGAAAGGTTATATGGAGAGAAAGAAGAATGGGAAGATCTTTTGGGTGCCAGCTCAACCACCAAGAAAATCTCGTTCCCCTCACCAAAGGAAAGGAACCAAAGGGATAAGAAAGGAAGTAGATAACCAGTAAAGAAATTGGTTATTCTCTGCCCACATTTTTACCTGGGGGAAGGAGAAACGGGAAAGAAGTGTCAGAAGCAGCTTTCATGTCAGGAGCTGCCTCCAAACAAAACATCCCTGCCATTTCTCTCCTTCCTTCCTCTATCCCATACTCCCGGTACAAACAGAAAACTGCTTCATTGCTGAAGCAGAACAAGGATGGAAGAACCTTATTCAACATTTTTTTTGAGAAGACATACTTCTTGATCAGCTCCTGAACTAGATGACAGCATTTAATGCTGCTGTGCATAATAGGTACAGAAACAAACATCACAGTCTATCCTCATTTCATTACTGAAAATAAGTGCTTGGAAAACTAACAGAAACTTTTGCAGGATTCACTTTGACGAAAAATATATTTGTACTGATTGCAAATTCATTTTTCATTAAAAAAAATTCATAAAAATATACTAATATATATAACTCTTGTGTGTTATCTAGAACAGAGGTCTCCAACCCTGGGCAGTGGACTGGTACCAGTCTGTATCCTTTTAGATACTGGGCCACCCAAGTGGCAGCAAGTCAACAAAGCTGCATCTGCAGGATCTAAGTTGAACCACCTGGCTCATGAAAAAATTGTCTTCCACGAAACTGGTCTCTGGTGGCAGAAAGGTTGGGGATCCAGAGCATGAGCTGAAAGTTAAACCATGTAACATTACACAGTTGAAGAAACTTGGGAAAAATATTTATAGTATTCAATGGATTAATATCCTTTCCCTCTAAACGTACAAGTTTAATCCCCATTTTCTTCTGGATAACATGTGTTTTAAAAAGTGAGCCTTAAACCTACTTCAAGTCAGTGTAAACAATGCTGAATTAGACACACCCATGGTCTGGCTTATAAGGCAATTTTTTATGTTCCTATTTTACAAAATGGGATATTTTTCTTGATATACGTATGAAATTGTTTATCCAATTTATTAAAAAGACACGATTCCAAAATATTTAATACATTCTTCAGACTGCAATTCTATGTTTCTCTCATAATACATAGCACTAAGTCACAAAACATCAATGTGATAAAAATGGGCATGTCTATTGTACTGGCATGTACGTCTGTAAATCATTTTTGACAGCAATCTCCAGATCCAGTTATGAACTAGCTTCCCTGGGAATTGGAATGAATAAAACTAGATTTCTGAAAAATACTATCTAGTCCCAGTGCTGCTCAGAAAATGTTACCTGTTAAAAGCAGATTCCTCAGTAGAATCCAAGAGCTATTAGCAATTTTGTGAGACAGAAAGCAGTACAATATATAAATTCATAGTATTTATGTGATAATGACTGCGAGCAAAATGGCAAGACGACCTTCCTTTTAACATTTAGTAACATTTATTTCTGCATTCAGTATCAAGTACATAAGTGCAAATATTTAAGAATCCATAATTAAATCCTACAGAGAACGTCATACAAATTTGTGATACATATTACAAGCTGGAAGTTTTAATTTTCCCATACATGTAATCAGACCACTGATCCTTAAAGAGCAAATAAAAAAACAAAACCAAAAAAGAAAACAAAAGGTACTGGGTGTGTAGGTTTTATTTTCAATTTCTTAAGAGAGTTATACAAAATGAATTATGCCATTTAAGTACTGATTGCTCCTTGGCTTGTTTTTTAATTAGATGTGCCAAAATAGAAACAATGACACTTGAAGACTCAGTCTATGATTCTAAATAGTCAAGATAAAGCCAACCAGCAAACCCAGTGGACGTAGAAGCAAAACTGCATCAGTGCACTAAGCAGGAAAGCCCTAGTCACATGTAACATTCAGAGTTATTTAAGCGATGCTGATAGAAGAAATAATAGTAGAAGCACTAGATAATAAAAAATTGAAAGTTCAATAGTAACTTTAGGTTCTCACCATCATGCACTTAAGAAGCAACACAAGAACCACACCTAGAACACTTTTCTCTTTACTATACTTTAGTGCTTGACACACATGATTGCAAATAGTCTAAGATAGTACAGAAACAGCAGGAGAAGTATGGGGGAGAGAAGCTGTTTCATTATTTCACATCTCTGAGATCATGGTGTTTGACAGAAAGAAGAGTGAAGACAAATATAACACATTCAGAGCAATGGTGTCATTCCAGCAGCACCCTCACTACATTGAATCCAAACTTCCGTTTTTCCCCCCAGGATGGAACTGGAAAAGAAAAAAAAAGTTCTGCAAATTTGAAGCAGAAGCTGGCTGTGCACAGTGCTGATTGGCTGCTTTCTCATGATGTCACCCAAATGTTCTCTTTGCAATCCCTAAAATAACTTTACATTTTCAAAGAAGTGGTATGTTGTATGGATATATAGCTGGCTATATAAAAAGAAATGAACAAAAATCCATGGATATTTATGCAGTGCTCTCATTTTTTGGATAGCCGGAAAGCCAGCCTGAAGAATAGGGAAGAAAAAAACTAAAGGCAGGTAATGAGCCCATTTTCCTGGCATTTATGCCTTATTTTGGTTGTGAATTTCAGAGAAAGCCAGGCTCGACCTATGATTGTGGGGCATGCTGCAGCCCTGACTTTTTCTATTTTACATCTGCCTTCACCCAGAGAGAAAGAGAGAGAGCAAGCAAGAAAAAGAGAGATGAATAATAAATTATAAGTAAAAAGAACAGAGCTGTTTTCATCCCAGACTCTCTTATCATTCACTCCTGTAGTTGATAGATTCTTGCTGCTATACTTTTACTCAGCCTTCCTCTTAGCGCCTGGGATTTTGGCTTGGATTCTGGAGGTTGAAAAAATAAGATTACAAAAAAATGAAAATTAGACACGCAGAATAGCTATTTCACTACATAATTAATTTTCTCTGCTTGAAACTAATCCTCAGGTAGAATTTCTTTCACTCAGAAACATTCATTATGAGCTACAGTCATCATAAATGGAAAGAGCTTCTTTTCTATTTAAAACCTGGATGGTTTCATAATCTCTGATGAATCTTTTTTGAATTATTTCTAGAGCATTGCACACCCCTAAAAGAAAGTACATCAACAGATGAAACTTAGAGGAATAATTATTTTCCAGGGCAGCAGAAAACATTTTGCTGTAGAAGTATAAGGAATGTTTAAGGAGGTGTTATCTCTAATAGTTGCAAGAGGTGAATCAGGAAAGGATTTTTTAGGAAATTTGGGGCATTAAAAATAATGTAGTGATCTGGAACAGTGCAGGAGTATATGATCACCCATAGAGCTATAGTTATCACTCCTTAATGTAATATTGTCATTATGTCCTAAATCAGGACAGAATACATCTTAAATCTGCAAAAACTACTGTACACATTACTCAAACTGCAAATTGGAGCCAGATGCAAAACTGACTTCAAATTAAAATACAGACATTTTAATACCTAACCTCAGCTGAGGTAAGGAAGAAGTTACTATCCAAAAGCTTTCTTTATATTAGCTGTCTTCTTGGGAGGTGGGGGTGGAGGGGTAACTTTTTGGTTGCTAAGTAGTTGCTGCTCTAAGAAACTGCATGACACAGACTTCGATGTCCCTAATACTAATCATATAGAAATCTAGCAACAGTATTCTATTCATCCTGACATTAAATAACTTGACAATACTCACTTTGCCACAACAGTATTTATGTGGGTCCTCACAAGCCCCAAGTATTGATCAATCTGTGCCTGAAAAAGAAAGAAGAAATCAGTGGGGAATCAACTACATTGATATATGCATTATTATATTTTACAGAGGTGATTTTACCAAGCTCTTAACATGTTTGTCTGCCATACTCTCCAAGACAGTTAAAATTTGCAACAACGTTTATGAAAATATTGTTACAATCAATCAAGAGGAAAAATACACTCATTATAAAGTATACATTATTTTCCAATCCTATGGACAATATTGTCATTAATTATTAATTATGCATCAGGGATAAACCCAAACCAGGTAGCAGGTAATAAACAAACATAAAAAATTGGTATCTGAAGTGGCAATCTTGTAATCATGGAATCAATTATTAACCAATCCATCATCCTCCACTTAGACACGAACAACTCTAATAAACAATTTGGTTTCAGAAAAAAACTACCCTGTAATCTGCAACTCTTACACTGCAAAAACATATGGACTACACAACTCGATCAAGGCAAAGCAATAGACGCAATCTACATAGACTTCTGTAAAGCCTTTGATTCAGTGGTACACGACAAACTACTCCTAAAACTAAAATCTTACGATATCTCTGGACACCTGTATAACTGGATAGAAGCATTCCTGTCAAACAGACAACAAATGGTCAAAATTGGGAGCGTCCTATCAAATTCTCTACCAGTCAACAGTGGTGCCCCCCAAGGCAGTGTTCTAGGACCAACTCTTTTCATACTCTACATAAATGACCTCTGTGATCATATTAAGAGCAACTGCGTTCTCTTCGCTGATGATTTAAAGCTATTCAACACTACAGACAATACTGCTACCCTTCAAAAAGACCTTGACTATGTATCAGAATGGTCAAACAAATGGCAACTTCAAATCTCAACAAATAAATGATCTGTCTTACATATTGGCAAAAAAATAATAATCAGAAAATACAGGCTGAATAGTCAAGACCTTGCTGATGATCCAAACTCTGTCAAGGATCTTGGACTACTCATCTCTAATGATCTAAGTTCTAGAGCCCACTGTAACTACATAGCCAAAAAGGCATTAAGAGTTGTTAACCTAATCCTACGTAGCTTTTTCTCTGGTAATATCACACTACTAACTAGAGCATACAAAACATTTGCTCGACCAATACTCGAATACAGCTCATCAGTCTGGAACCCACATTATGTATCTGATATTAACACAGTTGAGAAAGTCCAGAAATATTTCACAAGAGTTCTCCACCCCTCTACTCGTTACAGAATACCTTATGCCACCAGACTTGAAATTCTAGATCTAGAAAACCTAGAACTACACCGCCTTCGGTCCGATCTAAGTATAGTATATAAAATTATACATTGCAATGTCCTACCTGTCAACGAATACTTCAGCTTCAACCACAATAATACAATAGCAAACAACAGATACAAACTCAAGGTTAATCACACAAAACTTGATTGAAGGAAATACGACTTCAGCAACAGAGTGGTCAATGTCTGGAATACTCTACCTGACTCTGTGGTTTCTTCCCCAAACCCCAAAAACGTTAATCTTAGACTGTTTACTATTGACCTCACCCCTTTCCTAAGAGGTCTGTAGGGGGCGTGCATAAGAGCACCAACGTGCCTACCATCCCTGTCCTATTGTTTCTCTTATTTTTCTTATTTTTCTTATATGCATCCATGTATTCATAACTGTTTTTACTTATACCTATTATCTTGTAAGCAATTGACAAACCAAATAAATAAATGAATGAATGAATGAATGAATGAATGAATGAATAATTTACTTGGGAGAAAACAGACTGAATTCACAAATTGACACTTAAAAAGGCAATATACAGAATCTATTGGGAGATGATTTCAGCCTCCCAGATAGTCTTATTATGGTAACTATTGCTGAATGAAGGAAACATTCAATATCAAACTGCTGACATATGAATTATCTGTAAGTTCATAGATGAATCAAAATGAACTAGCACAATTTTATCCCATTACCCATCCACATCCCAGGATGCTTGTGCTATTAATTCATGGTAATTGAGATTGTTTTACATGCATTAAGTGTTAAGATGATTATAATAGTTTATATCTTCACATTTAATTTTCAAGAACACAAGAGACATACAGATATTTTTTTCCAACAATGAAGTGTGTATAAACAAACACACATGCAAACATGAACCAACCACTTAAGCCAATGCTGTATTTTTCAAGTGGACTTTAGTCCACAAAAACTGATACAAAACAAAACAAAAACTTGGAAACATTTGAAATGACACAAAACTATTTTTGCTACAGCAGATTAACATGATCTCTCCTGGAATCTATCAGGTACCAGTATATTACTGGCAAAAAAAAAAGCCAAGATGGCAATTTTAGCAATGCAATCAAAGCTCACCACTGGGGCTATGCATGTTGATGCCTCATACATGTTTAATCTTAAACAGATTTTACAACTGTTCAAACCCCACAGGAACTTGAATAACCTGTGCATGTACAAAGATATTAATGGGACATATATGTATATTAAAATCTAATAATGGGTACTACTGACCTTTCCCCTAGCTGCTTATCCATTTACATAGGTATTACCGATCAAAATGAAATCCATGCATTAAACTTTCTTACATACCTGATACTTGTCATATACCACAGGTAGAGTAAACATTGAGACCACAGCTAGACAGGAGAGAGAAAAATGTTTTAAGCATATTTGAAAGTACACACTTGTCTCCATCATTAAAAGGCATAACAACGCTGAAGAATGATTACTATCCCTTTTCAAGATTCTACTATCTTATCTTTAGCAACTGAGATATTTCTAGAAATCCAAGTGGTTATTTTTTCCTGAATTCACAAGATTTGACAGTTCTCTTCCTTGCTACATTCTTGTAAAAATGGTAAATTATGCTCATTAACATGGACATCCTAAACTGTAATTAATATTGATTAATGCCTCTTTTTATTGAATTGTCTAAGTTATCTAAATATTAAACTGTTAATAATCTTTAATCAATACTGAACAAATAATTATTGTATTGAAACAATGTAATGTATGAAGATGTACAATAATCTAGTATAACATTATACAGACCAAGTAGAGCAGGGGTCCCCAACCACCGGTCCGCGGACCGGTACCGGTCCGTGGAACAAGTCCTACCGGGCCGCTGGTTGCTTGGCGCCGCCATCTTTTTTTGACGAAAAACTGCTTCCGGTGAGCTTTTCCGGGTAGAAAGCCATATCTACCCGGAAAAGCTCACCGGAAGCGCTGGCACTGCCATCTTTTTTGATGAAAAAGTGCTTCCGGTGAGGTCACCGGAAGCACTTTTTCATCAAAAAAAGATGGCGGCGCCCACCTGATGCTGGTACCGGGCCGCGGCGCCCAGCTAATGCCGGTACCGGGCCGCGGCATAAAAAAGGTTGGGGATCACTGAAGTAGAGGATGTGATAACATGATAATTACTTCACTATTATAATTGTACTATTATAATTACTTTAGTATGTGAATCTGAAAGGTTGAGATTAGGGGAACTGAGGAAAAAAAGAGATTGGAAATATAATGTAAGAATAAAATCTGAGTCTCCTGAATTAAAACTTCTATCATCATTATGGGCATATCAGCCATGAAAATAAATTTGAAAGTACCAGAAGTGTTAAATAACAAACATGTACAGTACTTTCTTAAGGAATTACAGAAAAAAACAATTGACAAAGAGAGAGGGACATATTTTACTGAAACTATTCAATCTATTTTTACCACAAAATTATCATGATACAAATTAAAAGAAATGATTAATTTTACCCATTATCAGGAGAGTTAGGCCATTGAAGAGAGCTCCAACGTAAGTCAACAACCACATTAGTACTGCAAACTGAATTGGAAATAATACAATAATTAAATTTCCACAATCACACCAGACTACAACATAATACCGTGTTTCTCCAACAATACGGCCTCCACCAATAGGAAGCCCCACCATGTTTTATTGGCATAAAATCAAATTAAGCCCCTCCCCCCAAATTAAGGCCCATATTAAACATGCGAAATGGGGGGGGGGGAATGGCGGGGGGGCTTGTCCTTAGGAAGTACTTTTGTTGCATGCCCGGATATGGTGCTGCCTGCGTTGGTGGGGCACTTCATATCGGGAGACCTTCCACCATTGCTTTCCCTTCTCCCTTCCTGCCACGGCGTTAGGCATTTGGCGCAGCCACATGCGGCCAGTCAGGGCTCCTCCCTGCAACCGGAGCCCTGAGGAGACACTTGGCTTCAGGCGCTCCCGTCTTCCCTTTGCTTTCGAAGGTAAAGCGAATTATTTTGCAAAGCCTCCCCTGCCTGAGAGGGCAGCCCAACCCCACGTGGGGAGGCTAATCTCCCGGGGCCTCTTCGGTTCCTCCCCGACCTCCCTATACTGCGCGCCTCTGATGCGCTGGTCCCTTCAGCCCAGCGAGCTCTTCCACCTCAAAGAAAGGCCAGGCGGGCGGCTGCGGAGCAGCAGCAGTGGGTCCGAGCCGCTCGCAGCGGAAACACCCACCACCCTTAGCCCGACGCTGGGAGAACCAAGGTTAGCGGCCGCCAGCCCGTCCTTCCCGCCTTTGGAGGCACCTGCACCGAGCACCTCCGCAGCCAGCCTAGCCACGCCGCTTCCGACCAACTCCTCCAGGTGAGATTTGGGAACGAGGGGCAGGAGGAGGCACGCACACACCCCCGGCTCACTTTCCCGGCTCTGCCCAGCCTGCACGGCTCTGGCGCGGCCCTGGCGGGCAGCGAGCACCTCCCCACCAGACCCTCCGCTCATCCCACCAGGGCCGCGCCAGAGCCGTGCGGGCTGGGTAGACCCATGAAAGCGAGCCACGGGTGCGTGCGTGCCTCCTCCTGCCCCTCCTGCTTTCAAATCCTAAAGTGTGTTTCAGTGTTTGGAAAGGGAGATGTCCATCCTTTTGGATTTTTTTTTTACTTCAAACTCAGTAGAAGAAGAATGAGTTGGGCAAAATTAACATAGTTGCTACATGACAAGAGTTTATAGAGCTGAGGGGTTTTTAAAGCACATTATGACACATTCTGAAAGCTAACAAGAAACAGTGCAGGGGAAAAAAATCAATTCAAACTGATTGCAATAAGAATGTGTTATAATTGCAAACTGATCTTTTTTTTAAGCATCAATCTGATCACCATGATACCTCATGACATTGAATCCTACTTGTTAATTATATATTGATTTTCTCAAAAGAAATATTTTATTTCTCCAGTATTAGCCATAATGATGTCCTTTGAAAACCTTAAAGGAATCAATATGAGAACTCAGGGAATGTAGGTCTTCCATCACAAACCTGAAGTTGTCCCTTCTCTAAATCCCCGTGCCTGTTTGGTGGGTCACCTACCTTTAAGGAATCTACCAGATCCTGGACCAGAAAAAGCCGCCTAAGTTCTTTGACTGTGCTGTTCACGTAGGACTGGAGGCAATCTGTGTATTTCTGAATCTGTTCCTGGGAGAGAGACATTTCCATTTCCAAGTAGTTTCTGTTGAAAAAGAAAAAGCCTAACTCAGATTTCACCAGCTGAATTCTTCTCTCTTATACAGAACCTTTGGATTGCAGACTAAAACATGCCAACTATAGGGACAAACTGCTTCTTTCATTTATTTATTTAAAATCATTTCTCTCTTATTTTTATACCATGTATTCTGTTTAGAGAAGATAGTTTTCAACTGGGGGAAAAAGTAAAGAGGATAAAGTGTTAATTCCAGGGGCAAATGCAATATAAATGGACCCAAAAAAGCCTGGGTAAATAAAAATATTATTAGCCATTCACAGGGTTGGTATCTGGTTCCTGATGCATACTGCCAGTAAATTTTATATATATGATTGTTGTCCATATGAAGTTGAGAAAAGCTTGAAGAAGGATGGATTTTAAGGTTTATCATCAATGATACTGGGCAGCTTTTCCTCCATAACAATTTTTGTTTGCATGAAAACAGTAAAATCTATTGTTTAGATTTGGGCTATCTATAAATACGGCAGGAAAACAACACAGTCTGGAGTCACTTTCCTTTTGACTTGACTGATCCCACTCACCCAACCTCAACAGTTGGCCAGTTAAACCTTAAACACTCATATATGGATATTTAGCCCAAAAGTTAATGTGAAATACTAGTTATTGCTAATTGAGTTGGCAAACAATTCAATCGTATTCAGTCAATTCGACTGAAATGGGTAATGATTGAAGTGGGAATTTATTTCCCACTTTATTTCTCTAAAAATACTTTTAACTTTTTACCAATTGTTGCACTTAGAAACAACCAGAGAGCACTCACTTGAATGGGTGTCCTTCATCGGTTTTTTGCACAGCCTGTAACACGGATTTGTAGATTCTGAAACTGATGGTGGCTGAGAGAGCTGCTAATGCCAAGTAAGCAATTACACTGACAACACTGAACTGGGTTAGTGAGAACAATAACAGCAGGATGCTTCCAAACATGATCCCAGTCTGCTTGATGTCACGCCAGTATAAGAGATCAATAGCTGGAGGATGAAAGGCAAACAATAAATTCTCCAATCGTACCATCAGAGACTGCCATTACACATTCATGCATATTGAACATTATGGCAAAGTTACAGCACGGTTTAATGATTATAGGAGTATAAAGAATGCCTAGCAGTCCGATCCTACACAGAGTTAGAGTGCCAAGCAAAATTAATTTGTGGTGTTTTATTGGGAAGATAACCAAGATGTTAATACCTTTTTCTGCTTTCTTCTTCTGCTATGCTTTAATGCAGGTTTGTCAAACTCAATTTCATTGAGGGCCGCATCAGGGTTGTGTTTGACCTCCGGGGGCGGCATGGCGTGTGTGGCCAGGGTGGGTATGGCCAGCTCAACATCACTCGTGTGATCAAATGCCACTTTTGCTAATAATTTGTTTTGCTAACATTCTGCCAGAGAAAACAGAACTTACGAGGGTCGCACACAGCCCTCCTGGGCTCCGTTTTCAGCTTTGACGGCCTTCTGCAGCCCTTTGCCAGCAAAAATGGAGCTCATGAGGGCGCGAGCTGTTTTCACTGGCAGATCCCTGCAGGAGGCCGTCGCAGCCAAAAACAGAGCCCGGGAGGACCACACATGACCCTCTCGGGCTCGAGCTCCTTTTGCTGGCAGAGGCACCATGGGCCAGTTCTTTTCTATTTCCAGGGCACCCCTGTGGGCCAGATCTAAGCATGGATCCAGCCGCCGGGCCTTGAATTTGACACCCCTGTTTTAATGTGTAACATTATTTTTAAAATGTAAATTCTCCTTGCTTAGGATGTGAATCCTCATGCACATTGGCGAACTGTTTTTGTGCTTTCAAACAATAATCGTTTTAGGAACACAAGAGCCAGAGTGATTTAGCTCAAATATGCTATTTACTTGCTTTGTTCTAGAAATTAGCACATTTCCAAAAACAAAGAACTGTGGGAGTAAATTTAGATTGTTTAATTAAGGTCGAAAATACCCAGGGAAAATAACAGGGAAACAATAAAGAAAGATTGGGGCTTTTCCAGAAATAGTTTTATTGAAGATACAAAATTAACCATCAACTTCAGAACACATTGTCAGGAAAGTTTATACAGGAGACTCTTGGCTACTTATGGATATGATGAGATCAAATTACCATGAAATTGTCAAAACTTGTGGAAGATGGAAAATGCATTGTCTACATCAATAAAGCAGGAGAACCTAGTACACTAACAACAATGATATAGAGAGTAGAGATGTTCTGAAAGTGGGACTATTGAATCAAAAAAGCAGTCAGAGCCTATGTTCCGATACAGTAACTGAGGACACCTATGTTCATAGATATGTCCTTTAATTCCTATTCCCGCCTCCCCTAATGATTTTTAGTTGTATATTGTGATTAGCCATTTTATTAAGGAGCCATTGTACTCTCAAAAGACTAACCAATTAATGAAGTTGCAGATTTAATATTAGATTAGGCCCGTGATGGCGAACCTATGCCATATGTGACAGAAGTGGTATGCAGAGCCATCTCTCTGGGCACGTCAGCCGTCGCCCATTGCTCTTCTGGGTTCCGGCACACATGTGTGCACATCAGAAAGCTGCTCTTCTGGTTTCCAGTGTGCACGCACACGTGCGCATGTGTGTACACACACTCCTGTTTTGGCACTTGGTGCCGAAAAGGTTAGCCACCACTTGCCTCTTGAAAAAGCACCCTTGGGACAATCATGACCTGGATGATTGAGAATCTCCATAGAGAGGGAGTGAAAGATTACTTGCTGCTGAGATCCCCTCTTCTGTCTAGATTGAGTAGGGATCAAGAAGATTGCCTGGTCTGGCCTGCACTCTGGACCCCTTGCCAGTGTCATTTTTCTGGGTTGGGACAGGTACCTATTACTACAGGTAGTCCTCAACTTACAACAGTGCATTTAGTGACCATCTGAAATTGGCACTGAAAAAAATGATTTATGACCGTTTTTCACAATTGCAACCATTACTACATCCTCATGGTCATGTGATCAAAACGCTTGGCAACCAACTCATGCTTATGACAGTTCCTGTGTTCCCGGTTCATGTGATCACCTTTTGCAACCTTCTGACAAGCAAAGTCAATGGGAAAGCCAGATTCACTTAACACTGTTACTAACTTAACAACTGCAGTGATTCACTTAACAATGGTCGCAAGAAAGGTCATAAAATGGGACAAAACTCACTTAACAAATGTTTCACTTTACAATAGAAATGTTGGGCTCAAATGTGGTCATAAGACTACCTGTACTAGGCACAGCACCACCAAACCAGACGTTTCCCCTCCCGAGTCACTGGCTGCTTAGCATGCATAGAGACAGTGGTGGGATTCATTTTTTTTTTTTTTACTACCGGTTCTGTGGGCATGGCTTGGTGGGCGTGGCAGGAGAAAGATACTGTAAAATCTCCAGTCAGAGGTGGTATTTGCCGGTTTTCTGAACTACTCAAAATTTCCACTATCGGTTCTCCAGAACTGTTCAGAACCTGCTGAATACCATCTCTGCGTAGAGTGGCAGTGAGGCAAGGACTGTTATTTGAGAGTGCAAACAGGCATGATATTAGTGATGAGCCAGTTGGCAACATATATTTAGACTTTGACAAATCCTTCTACTCAAAATTTTGGGGAAAATTAAAAGTTATATTTTAAGAAGGTAGGAGTGTAATGGTCTATGGGAATGTCCTCAGGAGATAGGAAGAGCTGCAACCTCATAGACAACCATCATGCAAAAGGTATTTCAGTCCTCAGAAGAAAAGTAGGGTGGAAAGCATCTCAGAATGGTCCTTCCTATTTTTTTGGAAAGTAAAAGTAAAGGAGCAGAGAAGTGCTTTTAGACTTGTAAGATTCTATCACTGTAACTTTGGAAAAAATGTAGTGTAAATTAATATTCATGGTTTGTGCTTCTTGTCTCCAAGGAGCCAACATGGAGACAGATTGCAGGGGGTAAGGACAGAAATAGACCAAGGAGATAAACATAGCTTAAGTCCAGATCAAGTAGCAAATATATATAATGTAGTTCAGAGACATCTCCTTAATTCACAAGGGTATAAAAAGGGGAATAAGTACATCACAATCAGATTTGCAAAATTCTCAACAAAAGTAGTTTTAGAGGTGATTCTTGGTCTGCTCTACTTGATGGGACTGCCATAGATGGTAGGAATCACAAGTAAATGGACATTAAGATGTTACTTCTAGAAATAAGAGGACTCTCTATAATATATTCTAACTACTCCTAACCAAGTAAACGCCCATGACATTAAAATTTCTGAATCATTTGTTTGCATTATATCTTTTTTTCAGATTTTATCATGTGCTTGTTTATATATATATTTAAAGAGATCAATCAATTAAAAAGCAAAAATAGAACATTCCTTGAGAGGCCCAAAATATGAAATATTTTTTATGAATTAATTTCATTTTTAAATCATAAGCATATTTGACATTTCAAAGCTGAATGGAAGTTTTCAAGAACCATGCTTAGTATATCTGGACCCTAAAATGTGACAAGATCTCAATGGTGGTACATATATGTTCTATGTTCTTCACAAGATTCAGGGAGAGCATAGAATTGCCATCTAACTTTTTTATGTCAAACCCTTCTCCAATGTCCAACAAGTGGTACTAATTTTTTATTTTGTTTATGGTGGTTTTTTTCCTTCTGAGAGTTCAGGGCAGTGTGCATGCAGTGTCCTCATCCTTCTCCTGTAACAATTCTATGACATAAGTTTGGCTGTGCCAGAAAGAAGAGTTTCAAATTATCCAGGGATAAGTTCTAAAGTCAAGTGAGGGTTTGAACCAGATATTTCCTGATCCAAGTACAATGCACTACACTACAGATAATATTTTTGAAAACATCATTGCAAGTGAGCTTAGCAAATGGCTTTCATTAAAGGGAACCACCAGAGTTGTTTAGCTAAAAGTCTATAGAGATTCTTAGTCATTCAGGTCAAGGTTGTCCTAAAGATGCTTTTTCAGAAGGCAACTGGACTTTCTTGGTTTTTTTCTTTTGAAGACATTTCATTTCTCATCCAAGAAGCTGCTTCAGCTCTAACAGGACAGTGCGGAATGGAAGGATTTATGAATATTCCCACTGTCCTGTCGTAGCTTAAAAAGCTTCTTGGACGAGAAGTGAAACGTCTTCAAAAGAAAAAACAAGGAAGTCCAATTGCCTCCTGAAAAAACACCTTTGGGACACCAGAGTTGATATTTACCACTTTTGCTCATGTACCTTTACCAGAAATTTGACAAACAACAAGTAAAGCTTATTCCAAATCTATAGCAGAAGATTAATATTTGTTAATTAATGCATATAGAAGTATTGCTGGAGCAGAAAAGAGACGCTAGTACAAAAGGTCTCAGAGGTCTTTTCTCCTTCTTTCTAATAATAAGTGACATTCAGATGCAACACCAGAGCAGAGTTTGGGAGAAAAGGCCTACCAAACCAGCAAGTCTAATTTTTGATGCGTGAATTCATGAATCAGAAGAAATGTTCCTCTTCATGAGGCTTCTGCACAACACAGACAAGAGTTCATCTCCCTTATCAGCCTGTGTACCATGGAGACAAGGCTGAACTTATGAGGCTGTGTAGACAGGAAACATCAATAAGCACACTGTTCTGAAAATTATTAGATAGATAGATAGATAGATAGATAGATAGATAGATAGATAGATAGATAGATAGATAGATAGATAGATAAGATAGACAGACAGACAGATAGAGACAGACGATGGGTTTTTATTTATACTTAGCACAAACTATAACTATGACTGAGCTAGGGAGTAGTAATTAATAACTGGTATTATTAATTAACTGGTAATGTTGGGTCATCAGTAAGGTACAAATAGCTGTTTCTTATTTGTGGAGGAAGAAGGGTATTATCAAGTTAAAGTTGACTTGTGGTGACTCTATGGGCAGTCGCTTGCCACCAGAACCCATTGTGAAATATGTTATTGTACATCCTGGTAGACAAAAAGGTTTCCAGGAAAGCAGCATAGTACTGTATAACCATG